GTTTTGAGAGGGGTGATGCGGTGGGGTCTACTGTATCTTTCACAGGGTTGGGAATAATGGCTGCTTGCAATGTCCTATTACCTATTTCACAATTAGTCTTAGCGAGATAATTGTATGCGCGCCTTTCTATGACTGTTTTGTCCACCTCGACCTTTATATGTTTGTAGTTTCTGGCTTGCGATAGGGTGTGTTGGGAGTGGATGAATTTTCTGGTCTCTGCCGGTGTTTCGAACTGAAAACGAATAGGACAACACTTTTCATGTTGACTCTTCTTCAGCCTATAGCACTTAGTCTTGGAGTTAGGCATTTTCGCTTCACTAAGTAAGATGCGCTGTACCTTTTTTATTGCCTCATTGTCCGGAACGTTGTAGACAATAGCACTCAGTTTTGCGTCGAGTCGTTTTGTTACTTCTGTGGTAACAAAGTTAATGAGGTTATCTACCCTAGTTACCGATTCTGTGTCAAGCTTGTTAAGGTTTACAGTTTTCATGAGGATAGTTAGAGGTGTCAGTTCACAGACCTGCGATCTGATATCGCTGATCTGATCTGATAGTTTGGATATCTCGGTATTGGTTTCGATGTTTCCAGCATTTACTGACTTACTGTTTTTTATTTCCCTTAACTCAGCCTTAAGTTCTCCTATAGACAACTTTAGAAGTTCTATTTCTGAAGATAGTACTGAAAAAGAGCTTGATGGCTGGAGTTTCTCCATAAGCACATAAGGTGAAGGGAGGAGTTCTGTATGAGCAGAGGGTACTGAATTTTTAGGAGTAGTGCTAATACTAGCTGTCAGTACAGTTTTATCCTCAGTTCCAGCTCGACGCTTACGGCTTACAAGTGAGTTATGTGACTCATTATAGCCGTTTGTAGGGGGTGTGTTGCTTGATGTAGCAATCAAGGACGTTAAATTAGACACCAGTTTTACAGGGGAATGGGTTCGTTGCTTTTTACTTTGATTAACCATAACTATTAGATATGAGAGTTAGTGGTTACAAGTATGGAAGTGGAGTACTTGTGCAAGTACTACAACAAGATAAATTTTATGTAACGAATCACGTAAAAATGTAACGCAAACGTTGAACGTACCGCGATACAGAGTGCTTCTATATGTTGCCTCCGCGAAAATTGGGGAAGTTGGTTTTGAGGAAACAACCATGAATTGATCATTCAATCTTCAACTACATTGACACTCCCCGGCAAAAAAGGATCTATTCCTTGTTTCCATCACGACCAATGCACAGTTTGACAGCTTCTGACGGTACGGCGTCAGTTTTGACGGTTTTGGACAGTTAATGACAGTTCGGATAGTCACCGTTCATCTTTCCTGGTTCCGGCCAAGTCTTCTTTGAACAAGCGATATCTGGAACTTTTTTGGAATTGGTTCAAGTTCAACAATGCCTGGGTCAAAGAAGGGACAGAGCGTCTTGGATGCAAACAGGAAAGTAAGTCATGGTGACTTGTCTGTTACTTGTAACGATGTGTCTGATGTTAAGCATGACATGATTGATGTTATTGTTTCGCCGTTCAGGGATAATAGGAGCATCAAACTCCCTAGATTTGAACCACGGTGTTTTGATGGAAACCCGGCCGATTATTTACAATTTGTAAAGGAGTTTGAGATCATGTTGAGTGGTTTTTTATTAAATGATGAATTGAAGTTAATGTATTTGATGAGGTACTGCACTGGAGTTGCTGCAAGAGCTATACAGTGCTGTAAGTTTATGAAGCCAAAAGAGGGATACGCTGAGGCTATGAGCATACTACGTCAAAGGTTTGGAAGACCTTCAATGATTGTAGGGAAATTATTCGAGGCTGTTAAGGGTAATGGTGGTCAGTTACAAGATGACTCCCAGGCACTCACTGAGTTTTTGGATAATCTGTTGACTTACAAGAATGCACTGATTTAGATGAATTTCATGAGTGACTTCAACTCGAGTTTTATACTAGAAGTAATAGCAAGACGCCTACCTGATCGACTGCAAAAGAAGTGGGTGAAGATAAGCTCCCGTATGGAGGATGAGGGTATCGAGCCAAAGTTCGACGATATTCTGAAACTGGTAAACGACAGTGTCAATCAATCTATGAGCAAGTTTGCCAGTATATTGCATCTCACCCCTAGAATAGAGCAGTCTGAGGGCGAAACGCAATCACTGATGACGAATGGGCCTCAGAGAGGTGGATATCGAGAAGGCTCCATGGCGTCTAATAATGCATAGAAACTTATTGAGTGTAACAGGTTTCGTATCACATCCTCAACAGATAAGTTACAAGATGCAAGACAAACACGGTTGTGTTTTACACGTTTGCAAGAGGTGCATAAAAAGGTGAACTGTGAACCAGTGAGCAAGTTCAGTGATAAGCTAAATGTAAACTCCAGGCCTGACTCCGAATTGTGTGACGATAACGGTGCGGTGAAGAAGTCTGCAGTTACAACTGGTAAGCCATTGTTGAATAGAGTGTCACAGAATAGAGTTACTGCTTCAGAGTGCAGTTCTGACTCCACAAGTTTACAAGGTGTTACTATTCAGAGTGAAGGAATAAAATGTTTAGGGATTTGTGAGGAAGAACCCAAATCATATACTGCTGTTATTAAAGAGTTTGAAAATGATGAAGTCGACCAGATAGATGATGGTAAATTGAATATTTGTGATAATGATCATGATAGTGCAGATTTGTCTTTGGTTGATCATGATGAGATGAGGGGAATGCCTACTACTGCTGACTTGAACAAAGGTTCTGTACTACTTGAACGTGAAGTAGAATTAAATGCAGATGCAGTTGCAGAAGGTATGGATACTTGTGAGACCGTCAGTGTAATTGATCAGCGTGTGGCCCACCTATCATCAGATGATAGTGCTAAACCCGAACTAATAGTAAAAGACAGCAGTGGTGGTGGTCTTGCAGTTAGACAACCTTCTAAAAACCGAACATCAACAGCTTCTGATCCACCGCTAAGTTCATCAACTGGTATCAATCAGTTGTCTTTGGTGTTGTCATCCACAATGAAACAGACGCCCATCAAATCAAGTATCTTCTGCAATGACTATGAAAGTATTGGTGCACTTGAAGAGACGAAAGATATTGCTCAGTTTAGTGAGAATAAGCCAAGTGTAAACGAAAGAGTAATTGTTAAATTGACTTGCATGAATAAAGGCATTTCTAGTTTCAAGTTACTATTTGAATGCTATTATCTTTGGTGTAAATTACTCTGTGCCTACGCTTGGTTGACCAGATACGTCGTTTTTTGTTAGTCATCTATATTCTACGATACAATGACATGGGCGTGTTGCCGTTAAGATTTGAGGATATAGCTGATAGAAGGAAGTCAGCAAATGAACTCTGCGACGACTTTCCAACCTAGGGCGTCAATATGAGAAGGGTTGTAGGCGTACTGCTGTAAGCCCTGCAATTCTTCAAAGGAATTCCATCAGGACATGATCCGTAAGGTTATTTGTACTGTTTGTGTATACGTGTGGTGTGTCATATCAATTGGTGTTTTTTGAATTCATTGTGTTTACTCGTTGTTTTCGTATCTTGTTGTTATTATGTAATTTTGTTAAAATTTTCGTCGTGATTACTTCTGAAGTTGTTTCGAGTCTTCTACATCCGTGAATGAATTGACTGATGTTAAGGACAGCAGATGGGTGGTATACGCCGGGGAGGCTATTGCTGAGAGTGACATGCATACGGAGATAATTGTTAGCTGTGGTCCCACACGCCGGGGAGCGAGAGTGTAGACGACTGAGGCTCGCATACGTCATCGTTACTAGAACTGAGGCAGAATGAGTGACAAGCGATTTCAGTGATAATTGGTAGTGAGTTGATAAGAGGACGTGCGTAGGGTATCATGAGGTGCTGCTATGGTCACGTTGCATTCTGCAGGAGTCAATCTAGCGAGTGGAGATTTTGTTGCAAGATGTCAAGAGGATACCTTTAACTGGAAGGCGAAGGTTGTCATTGATGTGTGAGATTGTGCTGTGGGTATGCCTGTGGTGTGTTGGCTTTTCTGTTTGTTTTCCATTTCAGCTCTGTCCGTGTGACCCAGGTTCTTGCAGTGGCATCCAAGACAACGTGTATTGGTCGTGATGGAAAAAAAGGGATGGATCCGTTTTTTGCCGGGGAGTGTCAATGTAGTTGAAGATTGAACGATCAATTCATGGTTGTTTCCTCAAAACCAACTTCCCCAATTTTTGCGGAGGCATTAATACGACAGTCATCATCTCATCAGTCGCTGTTCAGAAAGAAGAGTATAAAACCGTCAGAAGTAATATTGTGATTTATTATTGTAATATTTGTTCACAGACCTTAGTTGTAACATTGTTTATATGTTGGTGTAACAATAAAGAATCCTCGAGTCACCAATTGGTGGTTTGGTTTTTTCGTCCGTTATTAATAAGCGTTTCTGAGAAATTTCAAGGAACATCGTGAGCCCGAGCGTAGCAAGGACTGGGCATTAACGGTTTACGAGACATGGCTGACAACCATTCAGGGGTAGACAATTAAACTCGTCGTTTTAATTCTTTACATTCTCTCGCGTCTTACTCTCCTAAAAACTTATTAATATTATAATTACTATTATTATTATTAACGACATATATATTATTCTTCAAACTGAATGAGCTGACTGTTGTCACGTTTCCTATTTTCGTTTCTGTCTCTTAGTCTGAATAACTTCACTAATTATATCTATTATTATTATTACTATCTATTTTCTCTTGTCGACGATACCGCAGGACTAACTGGCGAAAGGATCAACTCCAATCACAGTAGTAACAGTCTTAACATACCTCATACTACAAACCGCATATAATTAATCCCAGTACTACTCCCTTTGGAGTCAACCAAAGCTACGACAGTCGAATGGCGGGACAAGCTACGCAGAAGATTACCGAAGATCAGGAACCTATACCTTACAATCAAGAAGCGAGCACAAAGAAATCAAATTGGTTTACACTAGCTCGTAAAAACGATATTGGTTATTGGACGTGCTCAAGTTCATTTGGCAAGGCGGTTCTTACAACCTGGGTTTCGGTTTTGTTAACGCCCAAGGATGTTGAACATGTATGGGACCATTTATAATCCACCAACTCATCTCTTTACATCTTCTGTAAAAGAGATTACTCAGAGCTACAGTAAGCTGATTTTTGTTGTGAAAATTATTCACAAGATGGTTTTCTGTATGCTCGTTTATATACTAGTCTGTATCTGTAAGAGCAATTACTGTTATATGCATGTTATTTTTGATACACAGGAGTTACCAGTCTCATTTCTTATACCAAATAACACGTTCTGCTTGCATGATTTTGGAATATCCGTAGAGTTATCCACTTCTACTGGTGACCTACTAGGTGTCCAGCTGCAGGTGTCACAATTTACACAGGTCATTTTTATGAACTAACTGTTCGTTCGTCTACGATAAAACACTCTACCTTATTTGCTTACTTTTAAAGCAGTTTCTACACGTTTACAAATCGGGGTCTATGTTTAGAAGTATTTTTTATAGATTGTGTTGTTGCCCATAGTGCAGCTAATATTATGTAGTTTGGTAGTTTTCAGAAATTTGGGTGTAAATATTAGACGTTTGCACACTTATGAGCTAACCCTCATGGCCTTTGATACCACTGGTGATTTTCAAGGAAACATTATTTTAGCATGATAAGAAAACTTGTGATAAGGTGTTATAGCATCACTGCTTTGGTAGGAAAGCTCTACTGATGTACTTGTCATTGTAGGCGTTTCACTGTCAGCAAATGGAATGAATGCTTGCTCATCACTCTGTGAAACTAAGCTCAATATAATAGCATATCCCTATTGGTTAATTGGATTAGTATGACTTCTACCATAGATAAAGTAGAGGTTTTATGTAAAGTTATGATGGTGTTTTGTTCTGTAGGCATGACTAATAGTTGCGAACGTAACATTTGTTATGCTCCTTCGCCCCTCTGAAATATTCTACTATCCGAAAGTGAAGAGTAAATCCTTTTATGTGACGCTATAGAGGTTCAAGTGGACAGAAATACTCCAAGAATATGGGATGCCCACCTGTTGTTTTTTCTTTATAATAACGGATTTAGGATAGTAAAATTAAGATGCAAAAGCTCCTTTACAGCAATTCTAATTTTATGTCAAAGGAAAAATAAAAGGTTAAACAAAAAATCTTTGGGACTTATTCACTTTCATGGCTGTGCGATAATATTTATCAAAGCGTTAGGTCAGTTAATAACACATATTTTTGTATAAATTTTGGCAGTAAGTGAAAATACTGACGCGTTAATATTGTTTGAAATGATTACGAACCACAAGTCGATTAAAAATTTGGGCATATATCAAATTTAGACACCCAAACAGCACATACTCAACAATCATCTTGGGACAAGTGTTTGCACTAAAAGCAAATTCGGGTCCCTAACCTTGATGTTTCCCAAATCTAACACTAACTTAGCTTTAATGTGTCCACAGACTAACCCAAACCCCAATATTTTCTTAAACTAACCCTTACACCTTTGCACTTAGCTCAACCAAACTATAATCTGTTCCTGGCCTAAGCCAAAAGTAAGTCTGATTAGATACACTGTTTGACATCGACGCTTTTCTTCGTGTGTATAGTGGTCTATGGTGTGTTCGCATCTTTTAGATGTCTAAGGATTAATGTCGCCAAAATACAAGTGAAGGTAAAATAAAGTAAAAAGGACATCAGTAAATGTGTGCTGGGACTGATCATAGAGAAAGGAAAATTATATTCAGAAATAAAAATGTTAATTAGTTAAATTAGATGTAGCAATGTCGAAAACAAGAGGAATAAACTGCTGTCACTGAAAGTGAAAAGTGTTCGGGGTGAAATAACTAATTGATTTGATGAAAGCAGTCAGTCATGCAGCCTTATGTATTGATGACAATCGAAACACAATTGCCTAAATGTAGAATAACTGAACCCACGAAGATGAATAGTTTAGAGAAACACTCGGCAATTGCAATGTATGCATTAACACAGTGACAACATGGTCGGACAGAGCTGTGGTTCTTAAAGGTAATGTAGGTAGGTGGGTGAGCGGCTTATCACTAAATCTTTGTTTATCTAGCCTACACCTACCACATGCACTAGGATTGACGCCAATACCAGATATGTGAAAAATATTACTACCAATAAAATCAAAGGGTAAGAGACAACGGAATTATGTAAATGAAGCTAGGAAATTATGTGAGTCCCTTGATATGATTATGAGCAGTATTAATTTGTGCTGTAGACGTCATCAGTAATTAATACTGAATCACCCTCTGATTTTATCAAATGAAATTATTCTGTGATTGGATTATACTCTACCACTTTGCCTAAGTAAGAGTGGAAGACATAAGGTGTTATTCAACAACCACTCATTGCCATACAGTTGACAATGCACGACACCTTTTGTTCAGAAGCTATCCGCCTAAATAATCGTAGGTGAGGTGGGATTCAAACTTGTGACCCATGCGCACACATCAATCAGCAGTAGCAGCACCAGAGTTCAGGTTTTTGACATGCAAATGACACTCACGCACAACCTGTTAAGCGCTGAAAAAAGTCCGGGCTGCGTGACAATGATCCACTAAATTCTATAAGATGATAGAGTATATATATGTAAGTACTCCTTTGTTCAGTTAGGCTGCGAACTACTTTCGAACATGAGTTCTATGTATCTAGTCAAGTAACGGTAGGTGGACGTGTAAATACACACGAGAGGAGTAGTCAGCTGTCCACTCCATGTATAGTTTTTATAAGTTAATCTTTTTAACGATCCACGAACTCCTTTTGTGAGTGACGTATCAGAAAATAAAGTTTGGTCTCTATTTCTTTTCCTGACGTTATCAAATACTCTAAGGGTGTTTTACAAGTCACACTTATCACATATGATCGGAGCGTCATCATATCTTTTTTGAAGGCTGAATCTCTGGTGCAAGGGTATTATTCTTCCTACTGACAAGAAAGAAATCCTCTATCAGGGCCACATGTGGCTATTTTTTGTGCGTATATCTGAACTCATTGATTGCAATGATCATATTATTATAACCATGGTTGGAATTAGCCCTTAAGACTTACCTCTTGACGCAGATGTTATACAAAACTTGTGTTTAAATAATAGTAAAATTAGCCTTCTTAGTTATGTAGTCATATCTTTTGTGCCTTGTTTTGCCGTTATTCATTCATCGACTTGGGGTTAATAATCTCAGTCAATATCTTTGCGCTTATCTGAGCAGTGGGTGCTCTCTCAACTGTGTTCACTCTAACATGTCACAGGGAGTCAGCGAGCTATAGCAAAATGATTATTCCTGGACTCGTTGTTATGCTGCGTAGGTCTTTTAAATAGCTGTGGAGTTACAAGCACTTTTCTTCACAGTGAAGTTGGAAAGGGTTTAAGGGCAGAGTTGTATTGTTTTCAAGTTGAAATTCGGAGACAGTGAGGTATTTTTCTCCACTGGTTACCCAGATATCTTACCTTTCCACTCTATATAAGAAGGGCTAGAAAGGGTTGGACCCAGATATTATTATTCACCCTGTCGTGGCCGGTAACAATGTTTCTCTAAAGGGCGTAATCCCATGAATTTCGATACTTACGTACGTCGCGTGTGATCGACTTTAAGCAGGCATCCCTGAGGCTATTCGGTCATGTAAGACAAATCTTGTCATGAATATTCGTATATCTTTTCAAATTTACCATGCAGATGCTCATAAAGATCGCTGTTCCTAAATTTTACTTCACAAGGACTAATATTCGTATTGGAGACACTAGTTGACCTAGAGTACTCAGACGATGTTTGTCTTGTTACGTGAAGATAATAAAAAGCACACTTCTGAACATTTTAAGTGATTATGAGGATGTTCATTGTGCTTTTCTTACACCTTTAATGTTTATGGAAAACTATACCTTATCTTACCATATAGTGTGAAACAGTTGTGTACGTCGACGATTTCACGTACATTGAGCGTAGCGTCAGATCTGACTTATGCGACCTTCATATGCATATAAAATGTTGGGCTTGCTTTCAGAAAATCGTCTTACGTTCGGTCCAGGGAAGGTATCCTGCTATCCATTAAAAATCAGGTATGCTGCACTTCGTCCTATTGTACCGCTGCTTAACAAGATCATTAGAGATGGAGGACCTACAAAACCGTCAGCTATTCTATCAATAATACCTTCGTGGTGTTGTCTTCATCTGACGAGACCACCATGTGAGGAATGTCGAAAATCGTCATGGAGTGCTAGATGAGATCAATGAGTCGAGGAGACTATATGTCTTCACACGTAGTGTCTTAGATATGTTTCAAAGATTTATTCATCACATACCGTAACGTTTGTGGAGTAGGGTTAGGCTGGAACAAAACAAGGGTTAGTCTAACCAAAACATGACACCACTGCATTCGGTCACTGAATAATTGTCTGAACTATATGGGAAATTGCAGCTTACCTATCTGGTATCCGCTTAATCATGGGAATGTAAAGGTTTAGCAGCCTGGAACACTACTAGTACTCTGTTGATATTTCGCCTAAATATGTCTTATGCTCTTGTCCAATGAATTTCATGAGACTAGCTCATGTTGCGCTGTTTTTGTTGATATTCGATATCGTCATGGCGTGTTTATTTCATACAAGCATGAAGGTTTCTTTCCGACCTTGTATATTCTTCTATTTCAATCCGTAATTTCCAGTCACAAAAGGTACTTCAAGTTGAATTTTACAGGCTTTTTGAAATTCTTTAATAGACGGTTATAGCACATTTACGTGTAATTGGTTCACCACGAAATCATTTATTTCTTTGCACTGTAGATGCTGTTTCTGGAACCGTGAATTCAGGCCTTTCTAATATTACAACAAATAATTCAATTAGTCCAGCACACTGTCAGTCGTCGTTAGTTGGACCGATCAGTTGCGGACCTTCTGGTTCAATTGTTAATAATACCAACCATTCTATCCCTTCTCTTTGTGGACTAGGTTCTAACACTTCAGGAGTCCCTTTTGGAATCACTAATGGACCTTCTGATCTGATTCAAAATAACAGTAGCAATGGAAGTGCAGCAAATGGTAGTGGTTCCTCACCACCTGTTGTTGGCAGTGGTGGTGATGGCCCTCCTCTAAGTGTTGGGGCTGGTAGCAGTGCAGGCCCAGGGAGCAATAGCAGTGGTTCTGGTGGCGCTGGTGGATCGAGTGGTGGAAGTGGCAGTGGTCATTCATCTGCATCTGCTCAGCATCTTATTCAGTTTGAACCGCCTACTCGTCCGGGAAGAGGTTCTGAGGGTCGTTGTATTAGCTTAAGAGCTAATCATTTTGAAATAAAAATGCCTAAAGGCTTTCTACATCATTATGATGTCTCAATCACACCTGAAAAGTGTCCAAGACGTGTGAATCGGTAAGTCTTAAATTTTATGAACCTGTTAATCTGCTTTTCTTTTACTATTGCGCTAATGTGGATATTGGTATAATTGAATGTTGAAATGTGTGATTTGAATAAGCCGGACATCTCACTTAATTTAGTGAATAACGGTTTGCATTTTGAGCGTTGGGCTCTTAGCATTTCGAGTAATAAGACCCCTGGTTTTTAATATTATTATTATTCCCTCTGACTTAGGATGGAACACAGGGCTTCTACCGCCCATCTCCATTTTGTTCCGTTCTCTGCAGTTCTTTTTGGCTTGCTCCACGACTGCCCATAATCTCTCGTCTCCTCACACAATCTCCTCCATGTCACCCTCGAACCAATGCCCAATCAGTTTCCACTCCAGGGTTTGCCTGGTGCGCGTGTACCTGAATTACCTCCATTTTCTCCTGCATCTTCGTTAAGCAGTAGTTTCTTGATTGGTTCGTTCCGGGAGTTTCTTGGTGCTAATTTTTCTTGGCCATCTGATCTCCAGTATGGAGGAAAAGTAGGTGCTGTTTGTGACGTGCGAAGTTTCTGACCCATGTAGAAGAACTGACTGACAACTGACTGGTGTTGAAAATCCGGATTTTGTTGTCTCTTCTGAGTTGAGTGCAAAAGTTTTCCAAACTGGTGAAGGTCTGTTTTACGTTTGCGACCTTGGATTTGACCTCCTCCTTTGTGCCGTTTGCCTGTTGTTGAAACGATGCTTTCTAGATAAGTGAAGTGACCCAAGAGGGTATTTTTAGACGATATTCAGCACTGGAATAACAAACTAATACAAAGTTAACTAGACTGAGAATTTTTATAGATTATTTCTGGTTGGAACTCACAGTTACTTGGGGCAGATTTTCTATATAAATAGGTTATACTGAAAATGAGACGCAGTAATTAATATATATATATATATATATATATATATATATATATATATATATATATATATATATATATAACATCAGATGAACTTATGTAATATGAAATTGTACCATACTACACGGTTCAATTTCTATTCTTGCGCCAACTAGATTGTACAAGTCAAAAGTGATTCTATTGGTGTGAATATGTTGATTCATTGGCATGATCATAAAGGTTGAGGCATATGCAAAATGAGATTCAGTAAAGCTTTCCATCTTCATTAGATTCGTATGTACTTCACTGGCAAGTGACTGACTGACTAACTGGTTTCAACATAGAACTTTGCATCGATGTGCAACAGTTCGAGTCACCACTCTTCACTACTTAGCACACAAAGCAAGAGAAGAAAGTAAAAAGAAATGCAAAACACAGACAGTAAACAGCGATATGAGGCAAAAAGAATAGTAGTTTCGAAGAACCATATAGTTTTTTATTGGATATTATAAGTCACAATGAGTGAATGCATCTGCGCTAGCCATTGAGAACGATTTTGAGCCATGTTTCCAGCCATTGGTGTTTACCGTCCTGAGGACCCCAACAACCAGGAAGGAAACCAGTCCACACTTTCCTACGTGACTGGCTTAAACTAACTGTTGTGGATTTCATTGACTGATGCCTCCATGTTTTGGTTTGACCACCACTGGCTTTTTTCTAACCTAACGCTGTCACTGGCAAGTACTCAAAACGTAGACAGTTTGTCTTTTATGGTTACACTGTTACTGGATATGTTTGTGTCTGAGAGTCTTGGTACTCAAAATCCCCTGTAATTTTTTGTTGTTGACCGTGTTAGTTAGCATTACTGCACAAGTAGTCCAGAATCCTCACATAGTAGATATACTTCTTTTGCTATAGCTCGCTCTATTATTGTTTCTAGGTTGAGTTAACACTGAAAAAAGGGGAAGTGTTACCCAACAACCATTTTTTTGCATTCCCGTACAGTCAGTGATATACTACCTGGCTGCGTGGACCTCGTTAGGTGGGGTTGAGTAGTGGAGTTGGAATCCGTGACCTGGTGACGAGAAGCCAGTAAGTCACAGCTGCACAAGGCCGATCTATGTCACGCGTTAAATGATCGTCCCCTATTTTTTTCCCTTTTTTTATAACGACGGGGTTAAAGGTGCTTGCTTGGGTTGAAGTCAGGATTTGAAACTGGCTAGCCTTCTTCAAACCCTGAAATCCAACTTATTTATGCATTCAGCTGTATGCAGTTTACTCTTTTCTTATTCTTCTCTATTTGTTATTGCTTCTATTTCATTTCAAGTGAAATTATTGAAACTATGGTCAATTCAATGCATTATCAGAAATACTTTTACAATCAAAAACCAGTATTTGACGGTCGACGGAATATGTATACTCGTGAACCACTTCCAATAAGCAAGGAGAAGGTGGGTTCATTATGTTAAATTTCACTTAGCTCTGTTTATGTTTTTGTAAGTGTGTTACTAATTCTGCTACTTTGTTCTAGAAAATTATATCCCTTCTATTTGAAAAATTAACCTTTATGGTCATTGTGCGTTGGTGGCACAGTGGTTAAGACTCTCGCCGACCATGCACATGGTTCGGGGTTCGATCCCCTGCGGACACACACCTGATATCTATGGTCGGCCTGCAAAAGTTGGGCTACCGATATCACAAGCTGAAAATTCCATACCTGTACCAAAAAATATAGTGTTGAATCAAGCTGTAATCAAAAAATTTGTTATACAATTGATTGTTTTGCGAAACTGCATTTCTTTTTTCATTTAGATTAGATGTAAGTCTGTATTTCATGATAGGTCCAGATACAATAGTAACCACCCTTACTCGTTGGTAGCGTCGGTGTTTCAGCGGTAGGAATGTTCACCGACCACATATGTGTGGTGTAGGGTCAGATTCTCGACCGATGTACTCCTAAGCTTCGCCTAATGTTATGTACTCGTCGAGTAGTTAATAGTCCTGACGCGGAAAGAGGGAAATCAGAAGACCACCAGGTTTACGATGATACTTGTATTTTCCAGACAAGGAAAATAAATGTCACACAAGAGTGTGAGTGAAATGGTACGTAATGTACAAAAACGTGGGAACAAGTATGAACAAAAATAATAAAGCAAGAGTATATATGAAAATGGCTAATACACATGAACCAATGAGATAACGTCTTACCATGATTGATTGTAATGTCATGTGATAATAAGGTCATACATTGTTTATTTAGTTGATGGACAGACAAAGCATATTGTCAGTTATAATGGAATATCGATCCATATACACATAGCAAAATATAACAGACTGTCAAAAACAGAACACACATCATGTGGATACATATCACCTAACCGGTAATAAACTGGGAAGGTTCGTCATGAAACTGCTGAAACCTCGGGATCTCAAGGTTAAAGCCCTATATTCTATTCGGAACTCAGAAGAAATGAAAAAAAGTGAGAAGAATATATATTCACACATTTGAGCGTTGTTTTTTTACACTTTGAATAATTGACCGCAGCTTAAAATCACTATCTGTTTCTCTGATAATGGCCACATCCTATTATGGTGAGAGGTTGGTCTGCAAGCCAAAATTGTATTCAACAATTTACGTCAATGTTTACGTCCCGAATTGGGGTCAGAAGAGAAAACAAGCACAAAGCCTAACTTTGAGGAACTGAAAACAACCAATCACAGCGGACTTAGCGTGGGCAAATACGATTCGCAGATATATATATATATATCACCGGACTGTCTCAGAAACGGCCACAAATAGATGACAGAATAACCTTGAACAAGAAAACAACCAATCAGAAGGCGTTGCTTCTCTGCTAACAGTAACGTTAATAATAATGTACATAACAATCTATAAATATCTGTTGAATTTCTCAATAAACGATCTTTTACCTGACCCTTGTCTTCTGTCGTTACTACAATACTACTTAAATCTTAATTTTTAAAATGTCCATTTTTTCTAGTTGGGGGAATGCCAGGGAAAATGTCAGATCTTAACTGACTATTCATTATCAAGTTTTCCTTCCTTCTATTGTTTTGTTTCTTAATACGCACACCGCCACACGAGTCTTATTATTTGTATTGCTAAAATAATTCTTTTAGGTTGAACTAGAAGTCACATTACCAGGTGAGGGAAAGGATCGAGTTTTTCGTGTTGCCATTAAGCATGTCTCAGAAGTGTCGTTGTTCGCATTAGAAGAAGCTCTCGGTGGTCATAATAGGCATATTCCAAATGATGCTGTCATTTCGTTGGATGTTATCATGCGTCATTTACCTAGTATGAGGTAAGTGTTTTCCTTATTTAAAAAAATATTTTTCTGTCTTTCAATTTGAAACTCTTTATTTATGTATTGTCCTTTAACAGTAGTAGTGGTAGTAGTAGTACTAATGTTGCAGTTAATGTCGCCATAGTGGCTGGTGAAATATGACAGAATTACGTGGTATTCCCTGTTAAACAGTATCAGACTTACAATCCTTATTTATATGTATTTATATATAAACTTGATACGCTATGGGAACCAGGAGATGCGAGGACTGGGACTAGGCTGCCCAGACACCCAGACTGAAACGCATGGTTTTCTTAGAGGGTGGTGGGAGGTATTAGATTTCACACTTTCACATTTTTGCGAAACATTGTAGCCACGTGAAGGCACTGACTAGGACTTACCTAGTAGACACTATAAACTCGTGGCTACATGAGAGCAGTTTAAGAGTTAGACCAAAATCCTGGCACCCTTGGCCCTATCATGTCGTTTATCGGGGTCATATATATATATATATATATATATATATATGCATGGTAGGTAATGATATCATCCTGTAATAGCAGAAGGCAAGACACGGAAGCCAAGGTATATTTTCAAGTGATCAAACTGCTATTTATATGTATACAGTTTATATTCGATGATGTTAGATGGTTGGAGGCAATCAACAGGAAGCTTTGAACCTAGCTTTCGTGCTAGTTGGCATTCACCAGTCAGCAAGGCAGACGTACCTGCAGTCTTCTGAGATTCGAACCTGTGTCATCCAGTGATGCAGTCAGAAATGTTACTGTTGAGCTATTCGGGCTCGCGATTGATCTCCAGTAGCACTATATTGGTTACTTTGATTGGACACTGGTGACTAGTGTGATGTGTTCAGTCTTTTCTTTGGTGCAGACCATCTAATATCATCAAATCAATATGCACTGTGACGACGAGCTACCTAGAATGGTGACCACATTGCAAACCTGACTGATAGAATTCAGTCTGCACACTAGTTACTAGTTATTCTTTAACCAATTACTGAGCGTGTGATTTTAGTTTATATTGAACGACATGAAAGAGAACGTTTATATATATATATATATATATATATATATATATATATATATATATATATTGCACAGGTTCATTGCATTGAATGTGAAGATAATATTCCGTTGGAACCCATTGTCTGTGTCATACAGTCCTACTGTTGCCTCCAAAGCCTCAGGATGGTCGGGGGTGGGTGTCTTGCGCTGAGGGCTAGCCACCCCTCCGTACACCTCTTGAAATGCTCCCATATGACCGGGCGTCTTACATAGCCTCTCCTGAGGAAGTCCTACTCACTGCCTTCACGTGGCGGAGGTGTTTTTCACCGAAGTGAGAGGGCAAAAGCGGATGCCCGGCGCTCTTCACCGGGTTGACTGTCCATTGGATGACAGTCTAGGGGAGATGGCTAAACCCTGATTCCAAACCTCCAACGACTGGCGTATGAAGCTCACCGGCAGACGTATGGACAAAGAGCTTATTGGATGCCATGGATGTCTGGCCCTATTCAAAGAGGCGTATGAACTGGACTCCGGTCACCGGCTGCCAATGGATAGTGGACTCCCTACTCCACTCCTACTGCCTTGTAGGTCACACTTGGTTGTGTAAAGGCTAGAGCTGCACTCTCAAACAAAAGGCCGAGCGATGCTGGGGACATCACTCGTACCCATTTCCCATGAAACTTCATCAACTCTCTTACAAACATTCGAGATGTTCATGAAGCCGGTTCATCCTCCCGTAGGAGATAGCCGAAGTAAAGAAAAGAAGAAGTCCTACTGTTAGGTGTGAAGATACATGGAGTGGCATGTGAACCATGAACCTACTGATGTATAGTTGTACTGATACCACTAAGTTATGCCTAATAAGCATTACACATAAACCGGGAAATGTTGCATGAAATGATAAATTGATTTTGGATTAATAATAAGTTTACCTTTGCTTACTTTTGAGGATATAATAACTACAAGAGAGAAAAACGATCTACGTATTATTATAATGGTAGTAAACTTGGCAGAAGGCTTTGTGCTCAGCAAAAAATCAACACGACTGTATCATTATGCGTGAATTATTTCGTCAAGAAAATCGTCTACATACTACTATTCCTAAAAACATGTCTAATTTGTTATAATCTACCGAAAGATATGGAGGAATCTTTTTTTAGCAAAAATAACACCAATTCATTGTCTCTGGTTAACAGTTATGGTTTTGCTGTCTGTTTATTTTACTTTTCGATGAACATCCCCTAAGTGGCTTCAGCGGCTCAGGGATTAAGTTGTTACCAGGGTATAATCTCGTTGACTTAGAATATGCAGATGATATAGTCCTCCCTATGTGAGGATACTGACAAAATGCAGAGTATCCTGTGAACACCTTGAGCAGTAGTCTTCGAATGTTTGGCATGCGATTTGCTCCCCTGTCAAATGGGAGATGGTGCTACAGGACTGAACCAGACTACATCGACTCACTCCTAGCTTAAAGATAGACAGGAGTGAAGTGGTAGAGCGTGATGAAACTGAAAAGCACACTGGTGTATTTCTTTTTCACTAACCTTTTGCCTAGCAATCTGAAATCTGTGCTCTGAAAAACTATTAGTTTTTATGCCTTAAATTTTAATTTCCCCTTCTTTGTTTTTTCTTAATTATAAAAGTTATACACCTGTCGGTCGATCTTTCTTTCAAAATCCTGATGGTTATGAGAATCCACTGGGTGGTGGTCGAGAAGTCTGGTTTGGTTTTCATCAGAGTGTTCGACCATCCCAATGGCGTATGATGCTTAATATTGACGGTAAGTTCATGTGTTTTTATATTTACTAAACTATTCAACATGGAATGCTGTTGGCAAAGAAACTGCATGTACTCCAGGGCCCAGGTTAGGCACAGTACGTTATAGACGCCAGAAGATGCGCCACACAAAATGCCATAGTTTGTGCAAAGGCTGAAACACTGCCCGAACGCACAGACCATAGCAGATTGTTGTTTATAGGGGCCAGACCCTGGGACCTTCAACTAGAAGTCTGGACAACAAGGGAGTGCAGCAGCATGAGGAGCTGCACATTTCTATGGTTTCCGGTGAAAAAAATCAAGTTCACACGCCACCATTTGATTCTTTCGGATTCGACAGCCTATGTACATCATAGGTTTGTTATCAGGGTTTTTCAAATCCCCTAGGTAGACCAGCATGACCAGCATCTTCAAATTCATCCCATTGATCAGGAGTCGTGTTTCCTGTTAGTTATCTTCATCACCTCCGTTTTCTGTATGTGTTCACTTGAAATCTTATTTTCCCTGTTTCTTCTGTCAGTTTTCTTGGTTTTTTCCTGTAAGTCTTCGAGTTTGCGTGACATTTGAAATAAATCGTTAACGAAGTCCAGATCTTGTAGAGTCTTCTTATCGGTTCAGTGTATTCTTGTTTTCTTACTCCCCACTGTCTATAGCATGAGCCAATCAATCACAATTAAGAATATTATCCGTAATAGTATAGGCAACCTTGTTATACTCCTGTCTTCACTTCAAAGGCTTCGTTGAGTTTTCCGTCGTGGTCGCGTAAGGAATAAAATAATAATAATCATTGACATTAGAAACTAAGGGAGATTACGCTACCGAACTACTGGTATTTTTTTATTTCTTGATTACAGCTTGATTCCACACCGCATTTTGGTACAAGTGTGGAATTTTTCAGCCTGTGATATCGGTAGTCCGAATTCAGCAGGTCGACAATTGATATCAGGTGTGCGTCGGCGGGGGTCGAACCCCGGAACATGTGCATGGTCGGCGAGAGTCTTAACCACTGCCACCGACGCACCGAAAGAATAACTAAAACATTCTTCACCGCAACATTATTTTCAAAATTCACCTACAGTTGTATAATTCCATTGTGGGTAAAGGATAAACACCAGCCAGTCTAGCCACTTCAATGTGCATTTATAAATTTAACTTTTCTTCAGGAGACAATCACACGTAGGTAGAACAACTCAAAAAGTCCACCATCGCCTTCTTGAGCATTTTCCAACGTATTTAGGGAAAGGGATCGTAAAGTCAATTAAAAGTTCCATATTAGCACATCTAGTGGATGGATACGGAGCACAAGATTTACGATTCCATACAGGGTGGTGGTGACACCTTAATTCTCTAGGCTGGTACGCCTTGAATTAGTATGCATAGGATAGCCGAGGAGGTAGGTGCCATTAAAAAAAATCGGGTCCCAGTGGCTTAATGGTCTGCGAGCTGCTCGCCTTGTAACCAAAAAGTCCTGGGTTCGAACCCCGGTTGAGTAAGTGCGTACTAATGAAGAGCCACAAACTAGGACGAAGCAGCTGTTCAGTTCTTCCAGCTGGTTTTCCCAATGGTTCTGTAACTGATGTCAGCTCATTATGAGATCCTTCAACCGATGAAGCGAAATCCCCACAAAACTAATACTTGAAAGTAAAAAAACTCTGCAACCTAATTTATGTGTCCAGAAAACATTTCGTTTCGTTCTTCTCACTTGCATGACCTTCACCGCTAACCTTTCTTGGTCATTTGTCCTGTCAATTTCATCTTTATTATCAATATCCTATAATGCAATAGTTGGTTATTTGTAGTCTTTGTTTATTATTATTATAATTAAATACTCATTATAATTCGAATTACAGTATCGGCAACTGCATTTTACAAAGCTCAATCTGTTATTGACTTTATGTGTGAAGTATTGGATATATCGGATAAGAATGAACAACGTCGACCGCTGACTGATAGTCAACGGGTTAAATTCACCAAAGAGATTAAAGGTAATTGGTTTTCACTACACAGTGTGGCTTTTTTAATAATGATTTTGTCACCAGTTGTCTACAATTCATTGTATATATATATAATAGTTTTACATATCCGATCGACCCGCGTAAACTAACTCATCTCCGTATCAGAGTCAAACCCTCCCTACACAGGAGTAAATTCTACTGCATACATGCATTGACTCAAATTTTCGAATGGCACTAACAAACACTGTCAGCATATATCTATAGTACTTGTGATTATTATTTTTTATTAAGACGGAACTTGATGTAGTATAGGCTCCAAGTGATACACCGCACAAAATCTCATAGTTCGACGGCTGGTATACGTTGCGGATGCCCACACCGAAGTGGGTGGTTTTCTTGAGGGATATCTTCCCTTGAGCCTTTGATTTGAAGTTTGATCCACAAGGTAGTGTGTTAATCAGCGTCAACAGCTACGTTTCCAAGGATCCCAGTGACCAAATCAGGTTCATGCATACCCCATAGGTTTTGAATCAGGGTTTTTCAGTTTCCTTAAGGCAGACCTGCATGTCCTTCAATCGCGTTGTAAGCGTTAGATGTTTGCATTGACACTTTGGTGGTTGTGAAGATCATCCCCACCGGTTTATCGGGATTACTGTACTTTATCTGTATGCATCAAGTAACAAAGGCGAAAATGCTCTCATCCGGTCGCCGTCGGCGTCGTACGGCGGAAGCAGAGAAAAACAAAGTGAAGTGATACTGTGTTAGCGTTAGTATATGGATAAAGTTTGATCGATAGCCCAATGGGTGTATGTCTTGCTCAGCCAATCACGTGGGATTTGCTAGTTCGATTCCCAAGGAATACACGCTTACATGAAGTCTAGTCTAATAGCCGATAGTAGGCCTGGGAAAGAGGGGTGATTGGGGGTGAAGCAATGCGCGATCCCATCTTGTAAAAGCACTGTCTCTACTGAAACTTTTCAAAGTTGAAGCTTGAAAACCCAACGTTTCACGCTGAATGCAAGAAATGACAGAAGAAGAGCAATTCATCAACTCAGTTCTCTTTTTTCATCCTGCACTCTGCAAGTTTGTAGCGTGCATACATCATAAATATCTCAATAAACCATGTTTACTTTTATCTCTGTTTTACGTATATGCATATTTCTTAATCTTTTGGTTTTTTGTTTTTGTCAAAAATTTTTTTTTTCAACCAAGGTTTAAAAGTTGAAATCACGCATTGTGGTTCTATGCGACGTAAATATCGTGTATGCAATGTGACACGACGACCAGCTCAAACTCAATCATTCCCTTTACAGTTGGATACTGGTGCTACAGTAGAATGCACTGTAGCCAAGTATTTTCAAGAACGCTACAATATGCGGTTAGAGTAAGTATTGTTCATTCAGCTGATTGATTGTACAGTGTTTATAATTAGCTCCAGTTACATTGTTATATTTTCGATTTCATGAGTTGTATGTTTTATTATTTATTTTATTGTTCCCTTGGGTTCCTAGTGAAACATAAGGCTTCAACTGCACGTCTCCACTTGCTTCTATCTTGCTTCTGCTGTACTTTTCACCTGCATCCATGTTGGTCCATACTGTTTCAACTCCTCTTCACACTATCTCCTCCATGTCACCCTTGCACTGGTGTCCCGTTCGCCGCTTCCTTCTCGGGTTCCACTCGAGCAATGGCCTGACGCGCGCGCGATGTCACCCGGCGGCGGCCTCCTCAGCGACTGTCCAATCCATCCATCTCCACTTTCTCCTGCATATTTGTTGGTTGGCGATTGGTTCTTGTTTTGTTTCTTCCTTCCCATAGTTTCTTGTTGGTGATTCTTTCCGGCCCGCCCATCTGATCTTCAGTATAGAGTGATAGTTGACAGTTATTGGTTGATAAAGATCCGCAACAGGCTGTTGAAAATATTCTTTATCATCCGCCTGCCAACTTTCTGATCCGTATAGAACAGCTGACTGAATTGACGTTATTTGTATTGGAAATCTTATGGAATTTTGTTGTTGATGCTGAGTGACGAATATTTCCAGATTGGATTCAGATTGATGAGTGAATGTGTTTCTTGCCTTCCCGATTCTCGCTCGATTTGACATCCTCGTCCGTTCCGACTTCCTGTAGTTGAGATAACGCTCCCTAGATAAGTGAGTGAATGAAGTAACCGCTTTCAAATCCCTCCCGTTGATGGTTATTGGCGCTGGATGTTGGTGCTGTTGTTGTTGTTGGTTGGTTATTTTCATAACCTCCTTCTTGTTTATGTTCACCCGGAGACCTGTCTTTGCCGGCTGCTTCTTCGACCAGTTTGTCGGTCGGTTTTCGCTTGTAAGTCTTCAATTTTGTGTGACATCAAACATAAATCATCCACACGCGAAATCCAGGTCTTCTAGGTTCTTCACGTCGGTCCAGGATATCTCTGTCTGAGTTTTATATGACTTTCCTTAATATGTTCTCTCTACATGAAGTAGAGAGAAAACTAATGAATTCGAGCCGTAGACTTGTGGTAAACTAATATCAGTTAGAGAATGAATGAAAACCAAGGAACTCTGGACAGCTGTTTCGTTGTGTAGTCTAGGATCCTGTAGAACGTTTCTATTTTCTTCCTTAGAGTATCTGAAACAGAAGGAGCAAGAACAAAGGACAACTGCTTGGGGCTGGTCACACAAGGCTTGTTTGAATTTGCTTTTCTGGTTGCAATCTCCGACCTCGGGCCGTCGTAGTTTTTGGTGTAGATGTGTGAGGGATGTACACTATGGTGGTAACTGCTTTTATTCTAACCATTAACCAGTCGACCTTTCTTGAGTGGTAGGACCTTCAGGAACATCAGTGCTAGCCAGTCCACCTGGTCGGGTTATTACTGTATGCAAGCCCTACCGCCGTCATGTCAAGGTGGTAGCTATCGGTTGGGTTCAGGAAGTTGAATCATGGAAAGGCATGTTTCTAAGTGTGCACTTCTCCCTCGATCATTTTGGTCAGAAGTGAATAACTTGCAGTATGTTACTTCTACCATTTCGTGTTGTACAGCTGTCAGTGGAGGTTTCGGAGATTTTGTCTCGTTTGTCGCAATAGGCTGTCGCTGCAGAAAAGTCCTTGACTTTATAGCCTACTGGATGAATGTCCTAAAGATCAAAAGAGAAGTCGTGACCAATGGGGTCTACAGTGTCAAACGGGCTGAGTTGTAGATGCTCATCTTTGGCATTAGTTGGCGGTAGCACTAGTATCACAGATTGACAGAACTTAAATTTCACTGGTCATTAGATCGCATCGCAGCGGCTATGTGAATGGTCAATGCTGATCTTGTAATCTAGAGATCCTGGGTTCGACCACAGTTGGCGTTGTGGTTGTGCGCACTGCGGAAAAAAGTCACGAACTAGGGCAAAACATCTTTCTAGTGCTCTCTGGTTTTTCAGTGATTGTTCAACTGATGGTGATTTATATGACGAAATCCACAAATCCAAATCCCTACCAAAACACATAATTTAAATATATCTATCTAACTGTTCAAAAGTACTCACAATTGTGAAACGTGTACAATTATTAATTACTGATTACTACTTTTGTATCATTATTTTACTCTAGATACCCTCATTTACCATGTCTACAAGTTGGCCAGGAGCAGAAGCACACTTATTTACCTTTAGAAGTTTGTAATATGGTCGCTGGTCAAAGGTGTATTAAAAAGTTGACTGATATGCAAACTTCGACTATGATTAAAGCGACTGCTCGTTCAGCTCCTGATCGAGAAAAAGAGATCAATAATCTAGTAAGTTTAAATATCTGCTGATACATATACATGTTTTGAATCATTAGAATCTCATCGATTGGAATCTACTATTTCAAGACATTTATACACAGAAAACACTTATATTTATTTCATATTATAGTAATTTTTAATTGGTGGTGACTAGTAGTCGAATCTAGGACCAGCGTTTCGTCCTGTCTGGGACTTGTTGGCTGGGCGTTTCTGTCTTTTCAGTCGAGAACATCATCATTGCTCACGGTGAATGAATGCAGGTGCATCCAGCTGATAACTTCACCGCTAGGCACCATCAACCAAGAGTTTACTTCACCTTAATCTGTCTGTAGACATAGTCAAAGTGTCTGTACAAGGAGCGGCGAATGTCAACAAAGACTGGGCATTTTGATACAACATAATAAGGCAGTCAGTGGGAACTGAGAAATTAACCCAAATAATAATAATAATGATGTACACATAAAAAATGGCTAGGAAGCACATCTGCTTTTTTGTTGACAAGAATGAAAGGTTCCTTATCAAGAAGTTCTAGGTTATTTTGCTTCCGAAATGAAAGATTCCACCAAAGTTTCGTTGGTGGAATCTTTCTTTTCTACGACTGTTAAATGAATGAATAGTTTCACACTGACATTTGTAGTTATATATAGTGAAGGATGTGAAGACTTTTCGTCCGATTTCTGAAAAAATGTTCAGAGTTCCAAACGCATCCGAAAATTGGGGAAAGGGAGATTTAAAAGGAAAATGATAGGCAGAAATGTTGCAGAAGAAAGAAAGAAGACATTGAAAAACATAACGGTTTAGTGGATATGAGATATCGCAAAGAGTGCGCCACTGAGACCGATTTTGAGCGATATTACCAGTAGTAATCTCCAACCGTTGGTTCTTATCACCTTGATGAACTCCCAATCAGATAGTCTTCACCTCTCCACGTAGATCAAACTGGCAACCTTAGACTTCATAGACACCAATGACTGATTTTAGTTAGCCCACGCATGATTCTTTTCCTGGCTAATTACCCGTCTTGAAAGGTGAAGGCTACTAGGCATACGTAAAACACTTCCTAGGCATCTCATTCGATGCAGCTGCTTGACAACTTCGTCGATTGATTCCGGCTCCTTACTTTACCTAGCACTCGTCGCCTAACCTCAAGGCCTTGATATGATTGTGAGCAATATTTTGTGCTCAAAACGTCATCAGAAAATATTACTGTATAACACTGTGTAATTTTTTCAAAATAAGATTTTATCCATAATGGAGTTATACTCTACCAGTGCCCAAATTTTATCCTTATCTGAATATTACTCACCGTATTGTACCACCCTACATATACGGGAAATAGAACGCTGACACTTATGATCAAAAACAGCCAACGTGATTTTTCATGTCTTCCACTCTCAATGGCCATGTCTCATCCACAGCCATAAAAGAGAACAGAGCGGACTGTTGAGCAGTACACACGCCTTTTGGTAGATAGCTGAATATCACGTTTACTCCAAAGACTGCGTAAACTGGAATATGCGAAACGAGCCATCTGTATCCGTGCTGAGATTTCCTCAACGATCAAACCACTGGCGTTGGCTGATGCAACACTTCTCAAATAAGTGAAGTGGTCAACATGCTCTACCATTTCACTCCTGCCAATTTGGGAGCTAGGAGTGAGTTGATGTAGTCTAGTCCAGTCATGTAGCATCATCTTACATTTGACGGCGGAGCGAATCGCATGCGAAACATTCGGAGATTGCTGCTCAAGATGTTCTCAGAAGACTTTGCATTTTGTCAGCATCTTCACTTAGAAGGACTATACCGTCTGTATATTCTAAGTCAACGAGATTATTCCCCGGTAAGAAGTAAATCTTTGAGTCGCTGAAGTGAGTTAGGGTTGAGTCTATTAATACATCTATGATGAAATTGAATAGAAATGGGGATAGTGGGCATCCCTGTCGGACACCACTTGTTGTCACCACTTCAGATGACAACCTGGTTGGCTGCATGAGTTTGAGTAGAGTGCCTTGATCAGTACAATGTATTTTCTCGGCACCCTCTCCATAACCAAACATCATCATAGTACCTCTCAGTCGATGAAATCGAATGCCGTTTTCATGTCAAGAAATATAAGGCGACTGTTGGACGCTGCCTATGTTCCAGAATCTGTTGAGGGGTGGAACTATGATCAACACACCCTCTTCCTGGTTCTCTTATGTTAGTTTCTCCGGAGTACCACTTAATCTAAGCATTATTATTGAGCCTGGAAGTTTAGATACCATATTGGTCAAGCCAACCCCCTGTGATTATTATAGGAAGACTTGTCTCGCTTCCTGTATATAAATCAACACGTTCTACCACTTCAATCTCTATCTTTAAGCTAGGAGTCGGAGTAGTATCATCTTGCATTTGACTGGAGTGCGAATCTCATACCGAAAATCCAAAGGGATAATGTACACAAATTCATCGATGAATATTAACCAATGTTAAGGTGTATTCTTAGTCAGTCGTTGAAATCAGTCCGTTAGGCGTGTTTCGATTGAGTAGCGGGCGATTGTATCTCAGTTTCGAGTGCCCCTGTCGTGTTGCAGTCTACACATTCAGTCGATTTTGATCGCTATTGAAGGTTAGTCAGTGACCGATTCATCTAGTTGAAATTAGCACTTTTAACGTCTCGCTTTTAACTCCCAATCCTTAATTTTGTGACATTATATTATTATGCCTTCTTACACTCCAAGTTTAGCAATTCAGCTTTACAAGACACAGTTATTCTTTCGAAACTTGTGTTATATTATGTGCTTATTTAGTCTTTGATGTCGAGTCTTTCATTTTTTCTGTGTGACGTTTTTTGAATGAATTTGCTGCCTTGACTGACATCAATGACTACTAATCAACTTATATGCAAAATTTAATAGGTGAAACGAGCCAATTTCAATGCTGATCCACACTTACAAATGTTTGGCATTAACGTGAATACTCGTATGGCAGAGATTCAGGGTCGAGTTATTCCCGCGCCTAAAATCCAATATGGTGGACGTACGAAAGCTCAAGCTTCACCACAACTTGGTGTATGGGATATGCGTGGTAAACAGTTTTTCTCTGGCATCGAGATCAAAGTATGGGCGATTGCTTGTTTTGCACCACAGCGTATTGTTCGTGAAGAATCACTCAGGTAGGTTATTGTATTCAACGTTTAAGTTACTGTGACACAGTTTTATACTTGTGTTATTTTCATTAGGGGAGTAATTCTTCACTAGTATTGGTTTGAGTGCGTCATGTTACAAAGCTATGGTTCCATTAATTTTTAATGCAAGTCATTCGGTCGCACCTTGATTTTGAATTTTCAGGCAAATATGTGTTAGTCGACTCTAATTGTGCATAGTTTATGTATGATTCATTACTAGAATGGTATAATGGAGAAAATTTGTGGCTCAGGGGATGATCTTGATGTAGTGTTCTTTGAGCTGGATGGTTTATTTGTTAAGCTTTCATTGTCGTATCGGGCGCATACACTTAAATTTGAAGTGAGCTTTTGAATTTCTTCACGAGTTTATTATTCATGTCTCCTGGTGACCTTAAACGCGGTTAGTTGCTTTTGTCTGTTTTCACACCCTCTAGTCCACTTGTATCGGTACTGATTGTTTCCTTGACTTGAACTTTGACCCTTGGTGTGTGAGATTTCCTTCTTAACGGTAGGTAAATTTAGTCTATGTCGATATGTCTATTGATTGATGATTCACTGGAACACCAGCCTTTAAAAATTCCTTAGGCGTTCTTGGTGTTTCCTCTGCCTAATATATGAACGTTGGCCCAGTCGAATTGATGTCCGTGGTTGTCTGTATGTAGTGATATGAAGTAGTGGATATCATGTCCTTTGATGGCTAGTTTATGTTCATGGATACGAAGACGAAGAGGGCGGGGGCGTCCACTTTGGCCAATGTAGTGTTTTTCGCAGTCGTTGCAACTTGTATTGTAGATGATGTTGGTTTTATCTTTTTTCACTGTCGAGTCTTTTGTTTGAGGCAACTGAGTTAAGTGATTTTGTAAGTTTATGTGCGACGTCAATTCCTAAAGGTTTGAAGAGTTTTGCAGTGATTTCTGAGATATCCTTTATGTATGGATGAGGGATTTCCTTTGTGCTTTCCTTGGGGAGAAATCTAAAAGCTCACTTCCAATATGAAGTATGCGTTGAAGATGTTGCCTAGTAGGGCAATGAAGGCTTCGCACATAAACCATCCAGCTCAGAGATCACAAGTACATGGAAATACTAGGATGGTAGTTGATACTGACGAGCGAGCTGAATCCTGAAACCTGAAGGTCTTGTTCACATTCCTTGGGTCTTCATTATCATCTGATCCTAATTTGTTATTTCTTTATTAAAACACAAATATGATACATTATGGCCACCAAGAGATGGACTATCAAAATCTCATACGTTGTGCGACACTTGGGATATTGCGTCGCCCACCAGACTGAAACTGGTGATTTTCCTAAAAAGGGCCACTCTGAGCCTTTGTCTTGAAGTCGCTGATCTACAACTCGGTGGAGCACTATCATGAACTAACTGCTTTCTAAAAACAGGTTCATACGCTATTCTAATCTTTCGGATTCTGGAACTCATGTACACCACCGTAGGTTTGTAATCACGGTTTTCCAGACGGCCTAGGTAGACCAATATGTCCAAGGTAGACCAACATGTGACATCGTCCATCCATCACGAGGTGTCAAGCAAGGCAACCCCCTATCGCCACTTCTATTCATCATGATCATGGATGAGGCACTTTCAGTCCTTGACAACTTTGATCCAATCTACCTTGTCTACAAATCCCTTCATTACATGGCATACGCTGGTGACCTCATAATCTTCGCCCCTAACGCATCAACTGTACAGTTGAAACTCAACGCCCTCAGCGCCTCACCCAGAGCAGCAGGAGAGAGCATTTCCAGAGTCATATCAAAGTCTACCCAGCCTTGTTTGAGTCAGATCGTTTATAGGGGAATGCTGTCCAAATAGTCGGGTGTATAGTTTGTTCAGTTTTGTGGTTCGATGTCAATTAACCATTTCTGTTCTGCATATTTTCGTTGTGAATTACAAGGCTACACAAATTTCAACACTAAAATTAAATGCACTAGCAGACAAATGGTACTTCATTCTTCTACTGCTCTCAACTTAAAAATTCTAGGAAGGCAGATATAGAACGTGATACATGTTATCTCAAGTTTTAGACCATGTGGTATACGCGCACCCTAAAAGTTTGTGATGGTATTCAGCAGTCATATCTAATTGAATTACATGAAAGGGATTTAGGATCTGAAATCCATGGGTTTTCAATGATCAAGTGTTATAAGCTATTGATCCATATTATCTCTGTTAATGGTGATGGGGGTTTACTTCAACTGGATCATATCAAAAATATGTGTGACTTGGCCGTTTAAATAAAAGGCATAAAAATTAAACCAGCACAATAAATTTTTAAGTAGTATAGAATAATGAAGATAGAGAAAATATAAGGCATTTTAAACTAACTAGTGGTATGATCCATTTTGACTTGTTTTGACAAATCAAACATCCCTAACAATAATTTTACATATATCCTACATTTTCTAATGTACGTCTGTCTGTGGTTTAATACTACAATGCTCAACAACAACCACATGGAAGATCCGGAGTTCGACTCCCGGCCTTTATGTACTCCTAAACCTCTCTCAGCGTGGTAGTAGGACCGAAAAAGAGGGAAGATAAGATATAAGGCTAGCACCTCTACCTCGTAAAGGTAATATACCACTGAAACTCCTACACCTGAAGCTTTGGGAGCCCTATGTTCTACTGAGGAAAAAGCGTAAAGAATTAAAAAATTCTGGAGATGTTTTTAAACTCGTCATTTCCCTTCTTTATTTTTTTTTCATCTGTCTAGGATGTTTACCTTACAACTGCAAAAAATTTCCAATGATGCTGGTATGCCTATTCTAGGTCAACCATGCTTTTGTAAATATGCTACTGGTCAAGATCAAGTTGAACCAATGTTTCGTTACTTGAAGAATACACATGCTGGTCTACAGTTGATTGTAGTTGTACTGCCAGGAAAAACTCCTGTTTATGGTTCGTTATTTATTATCATCCTTGTCGTTTTGCCTTAATTTTTAATGGTGGAGTTGTGTTTGCGTGTGGGTGTGTGCGGACAATATAATCACTGTTTGATTGGACACTAGTAACTAGTGTGGTGTGTTTGCCTAGTCCTCTCTCTTTGGTGCAGACTGAATTTTATCAGTCAGGTTTGCAATGTGGCCACCATTCTAGGTAGCTTGCCATCATGGTGCACAGTGATTTGATGATATTAGGTCGTTGGAGGCAATCGGCAGGAAGCCTTAGACCTACGTTTCGTGCTATAGTTGGCACTCACCAGTCAGGGAGGCGTATCTGCAACCTTGAAGGAACTCATGTCCATTCTGAGATTCGGACCCGTGTCATCCAGTGCTGCTACAGGAGATCAATTGCGAGCCCGAATAGCTTAATGGTAACGTCTTTGACTGCAGCCTTGGGGGACGCGGGTTCAAATCTTAGAAGGGGCATAAGTTATTTCAAGACTGCAGATACGCTTCCCTTGCTGACTGGTGAGTGCCAACTAGCAGGAAGGTACCCTGTGACCGATTGCCTCCAATCATCTAATATCATAATCACTGTTTCCTAACAATAGGATGGGGAATGAAATGGTCGATTACGTTGACTACTTACTTCACTTATTTGAAAAAAGCTTCAGCATTAGTCTTAATGAAGGTAGTGAAGGTGGTCAATGACTAAATCTCAGTTGGATTTTGAAAAGTGTGATTCTTGCTACTGGCGTACGTGATTTCATTCAGATATCACTTGTAGGAAACCAGTCCAATTGGACCATACTCTGTGGCTGTTAAATTTTGGCATAGTAGGAGAAGCTACACAGGACGGTTACAGCATCTCATTATTATTATTATTTCATTATTATTAATTATACGTGTTCACTGAATAAAATGTCTTATATATATATATATATATATATATATATATATATATATATATATATCATTTACTTAGACTTATCCAGCTTTCCACCAAAAGGCGGGTGTACTGCTCAGCAGTCCGCTCCATGCTCCTGTACGGCTATTGGTGAGACATGGCCATTGAAAGTAGAAGACATGAAAAACCAGGTTAGCTGTTCTTGATCATAGGTGTCTGCGCTCTATCTACCATGTATGTTGGGTGGTATAATAGAGTCAGCAATATTAAGGATAGTCATTGAGTGCTAGGTAGGTGGGAGGGAAAATCAATCGACGAGGTTGTGAAGCATCTGAGACAATTGAGATGGCTAGGACATGTGTTACACATGTATGTCCATTCATCGCTTTCCTCGACGACGACCAGTGTTAGCTGGCTGGTATTGGATGGATCAGGTTGGAAAAGAGTTAGTTAGTGGTGGTCAGACCAAAACATGGCTTCATCAGTCAATGAAATCCACAACAGTTAGTTTAAACTGGCCAGCCAGCCACTTAGGGATGTGTAGACTGGTTTTCTGGTTGTGGTCCTCGGGATGGTAGAAACCAATGTCCTGAGACAATTGGTAATATGGTTCAAAATCGTTCTCAGTGGCACAGATGCATCCATTCCTTGTGAATTATAATACCCAATGAAACTATATTGTTCTTCGTTATTACTATTCTTTATGCCAAGTATCTCTGTTTACTGTCCGTGTTTTGCATTTCTTTTTACTTACTTCTCTTGCTTTGTGTGCTAAGTAGTAAAGTGTGTCGACTTGAACTGTTGCACATCAGTGCAAAGTTCTACGTTGAAAACAGACAGACACGGAAGGCGGGTAAAGTAGAATTAGGTTTAGAATAAGTAAGATGTGACCAAATGTAATACACCTTAAAGAGTCCCAGAAATACATTACTTAATTGGAGATTGTTGTTGTATCCATTAAAATTGGTTGCCAGTCGCGCTTTTGTATTGCCAATCAGTCATCGGATTCCTTCCCCGATAGCTTAGAATGATCAACGAGTTCGCTTCTTAACCTGAAAGTCTTGTATTCAATTCCTGTTGGGATCATGGGTGTGTTGCATGTGCTGCTGATGAAATTTATAAGTAGTAAATAGAGACGCTCATCGGCATACAAATATGAAATAGCCGGGAGATAGATGTGATGTCAGAAAAAGTAAAAGACTCACCGTTGCGGCGAAACATGGGAGACACATGAAGAATACAAAGAAAGACAGTACGAAGGTACGGCAGAAGAAGCAGGCAAAACACATAGCATCTGTGCAAGTCACGATTTGGAGATGAAGTGTACATAATTCTCCTATACATAAATATGCCAAATTTCAAATAAACATTCCTTGACCAAGTCTTTTGTCGTCTACTGTTACAGTACTACTTAAGAGTCTCAAATAAGGAGGAAACAGGTGCCCAGTACTTCCTGGTTTTCAATAATTGTCTGATTAAAGTGAGTTTGCGGTCAATCCTGAAATTTATCAGCTCCTCGCAAAGGAACACTTAAAAATTGTGAACATTGTAACCGATCCTTCGTTAAACTATGTTCTTTTAAACTTATTGCTGATATTTATTGATCTGAACACCGATTCTACGATTTTTCCACTTACTGTGTGTTATGTTTTATGTTGCGATGTGTATTTGTCAATCTGGACAGTATAGTTTAATGCAGTCGAGTAAAAGCATAAGGTCGGAAAGAATTCATATAGGTATCTTTTAAGGATTATGATTAATGATATTATTCCGTTGAGTAGTTCTGAGTGGTGGTGTGCATAGGGAGTCAGCAGGGCATCTGCACTGCACTCTATTCTCTGCAATCCTCTTTAGCTGGCTTCACGATGCCCTGTAAGCTTTCACCTCCTCCTTACGTACTATCCTCCCTGTCAGTCTTGAACGCACATCCAACTAGTAGTTTCACATTCGGGTTCACTCAAGGACCCAACTGGCGTGTGATGCGTCTCTCATACGGGTCTCTCAGCGTATTTCCTATCCATCTCCATTTCCCTCTGATGTTGTTGTTGCTGAAATTCCGAACCTCGCTCCCTATGCTGGGTACAGCAGATTCCCTCACTTATTTCAGATTAATGGAAGTCTGTGTAACTTTTCTGATCCAGACTGCCTTTGAGCTTCGCCTGGTTTACTGATCGGTCCTACGCCCAGAGGAAACAAGATGAAGGCTAGGGCTAGAACCCCCACCCCCTACCCCGTAAAATCAATTAAATCGCTACAGAAATTTTAAAGTTCAGAAGAAATATAAAAAATAAATCTGTCCTTGTGAGTGCTGTTCACGTTGGGAAAACATAAGGAAATGAACACATCACAGTAATTCTTCTCTGACTTGTATTTAATATTACCAATATAACTTCTTTATTCCACATTATTCCATCATAAACCGATTACCTCTGCATTTTTTGAACTGTTTAAGAGGATAACCAATGTGATAGCGCGCTTTAGGTGTATATTCAATTTATTAAAACAAACCAAAGGACCTGTCGCTCAACTTAATTTGTGGAAGAAAATGTAGATGGCTTAGACACACACACTTTTGGGAGACCGTTGAGTGATATCACTCACAGTTTAGACCCTCGAATGCCATATGAATTGTATACGATGAGTTGGGCATCAGCGGGGGAAAAGGAGGAGATTGTGCGATGGGAAGATGACAGTTGATGGGTCATTGTGGAGCCAGCTATAGACGACTGCAGAGAACAGGGTGAAATAGGGGCATATACTGATGAAGTTTTGTGTTTCAATCGGAACCTGATGCGTTTAATGCATCATTTTATCATCCTATTCGACTGTTATCTAATTTATTTTATTTCATACCTTGTTATGCCTATAATAGCCGAAGTCAAACGTGTTGGTGATATAATGTTTGGTCTTGCAACACAATGTGTCCAATCAAAAAATGTGAATAAAACATCACCACAAACATTGTCCAATCTTTGCTTGAAAATCAATGTAAAATTAGGCGGCATTAATTCTATTATTGTACCAAGTGTTCGACCCGCAGTATTTCGTGAACCAGTCATCTTTCTTGGCGCTGATGTTACACATCCTCCAGCTGGTGATAAAACAAAACCGAGTATTGCTGCTGTTGTCGCCAGTATGGATGCACATCCAAGTCGTTATTCTGCAACTGTACGTGTCCAATCACATCGTCAAGAGATTATACATGATTTGTATCCAATGGTTAGGGATTTGTTGTTACAATTCTATCGAGCTACACGTTTCAAACCAACACGTATTATTTATTATAGAGATGGTGTTGGTGAAGGACAATTTTTAAATGTAAGCTTGGGTGTTTTTTTCCCCTGTCTTTTGGTTATATGGAAGGTTACCTTCATTTTTTTTTTAAATTAACTAGAATTCAGACTATAAGGGGATGTAATTTATGCGAAATGTCTGTGTAATGTGTATTTTTGCTACACAATTTCGGACATATTCTGATCACATACATATGTTTATAAAGGGTAGCAGAGCATTAAGGATCACCATTTTTTAATCAATATGGATCAGAAATGTTTAGCATATGAAGAAGAGAAAAACGATGGCTTTAAATTTTTAGATGTACTCATGACTTGCCGACAGGATGGGTCAATAAGACAAGACGATCTGTCTACAGGAAGCCCAACTTGTCAAATTTTCTGTGGCACTCCAGTATTTAAAGGTGTCAGTTAAGTGCTTGTTCAAACGTATTCAGCATATGTGTACAGGGTTCCATCAATCAGGTCTGCTTGTAAAAAGGATGTTTATACGGTGTTATCAAGGTTTGGTCACTAAACAGAGACTCAGAAAAGACGAGATTCATACTGTCCGGTAGATTCTCTAAGCTGATTTTTAATAGAGGAAATGAAATTTGTGTGGTTGTGTAAACCTTTTCAACATTCGGACGTTAATGTTGACTGACACATACGTACATACGGGAGGAGTCATTGCGATCTCTAAAGGTCAGGGTTAAAGATCACAGAGACAGACAAAAGCACCTAATCGTAATCTCCGAAAAACCCTGATGGAAAACGGTTTCCCGCCCAGGTTCATAGACAAGAATCTCAAATCTAAGAAGACTTCCGAACAAGTCCAATCCGTTCCAAAGAAAACACTTCTACTTAATCCAGAATTCAAAGGTGATATTGAAGCAGAAATCCTTCGTAAACGCCTCTCCAAATTGCTGAGGAAAACATACTTTGCCGCAAGCCTACGACCGACGTTTTCCTGGAAGAAACTGTTCAGCCAGAACGCGAAAGACAAGCTGTCGCATTGGGCCACTTCAGCGGGCATATACCAGTTTACTTGCTCTTGTGGAGCTGAGTACATCGGCTGTACCATGCACCGACTTGAAAAACGCGTTCGTAAACACTACCCAGCCTGGTTAGTAAAAGGAGACCAAAAGGGTGTATACAGTTCAGTGACAGAACATCTGGTCAATTCAGGGCGTTCAGCGCCTTTTGAAAAATCCTTCAAAGTAATATACAAGATTCAATCAAACCTATCAAAGGGAGTGAAATCAAGACATCTGGGCATAGCTGAGGCGCTAGCTACCCAAAAGCTGAAACCCACATTTTGTATCCAAAAGAAATACGTCCAACCCCTGTCCCTGCCATGGCCATCATAAACAGGTAAATTTTTTTAGTAATGACCATTCCATCGCCTTTCTTATCTAAACTTCCTGTTTATTCATGTTATTTAACATCACCATATTTTCATATTCGAACTTTATTTATTTTGTCATTTTACTATTTCTACATATTTAATCCCTGATTGCATAAACAATTATTCATCACATTAGTTTTTTTTACCCAAACATCCTGTCTATTTTGTTATTTCTACATTTCTAACCCCGAATTGGACAATATGTCAATCTTCTCAGTAATTATGATGCTACTTTGTTTGAGTTTTATCCGTTACCCTGTTTATTATGGCATTTTCATTCCTTATTGTAATTTTTATTAATTTGAGCCTTAACCGAAAATTATTCTGGAACTTTCCCACCGATTTATCATAAATACACGAATGTACGACCTTGTTTGATGACTTCGTCGTAAAGAAAATTTTATTCGCTGCAATTGTCTTTTTGAATTATAAATCCCGGAAATAGATGTCCAACACTATCCATTGTGGTGTACAACACAGAAATGCGTCATACAGTCGATTTTAATAGTGCCTTTATATCCCTAATATAAAATTTTTTTTGGGTTGTATCGTTAAATTCGTTAAAGCCTTAGCCATAAAATGGTTTAGACGTGTTTCATCTCTGCTCAGGAATTATGTGTCAATACTTTGAACCGGCCTTAGAAATCCAATTTTAGAGCTGAAGTTCATTTTACTTAATATTATTTTCACCCCTTTTCAATGTCTTATCTCATTTTCTATACCTTCTCTCTCTGTGTGATTGATTGCGACCGATAAACATTTTGACGTGTATTGACAAAAAAATCGTAATCCTTTATAGTATGTTACTTTTCTATTATATAAATAAGTGTGAGACAAGTACGCGCGCGCGCGTGTGTGTGTGATCAGAATGCCTGAAATGTGTGTTGCTCAAATGCACACAATATACACGTTTCATCAGATAAATTACCTCTTATAGAGTTTTGTTGAAACTCATAAAGACAGTTGATTATTTTGTTGTTGTTGTAATCTCCGATTGTGCAAAACATCATCGTAACAGTGGATTTGTGGAGCAGTGATTTGTAATTGGTTTAGACATGTTCTACTTTTAACGATGAGGTTAAAATGGGTTCGCCGAAAGCCGCACCATATCTCCGGGTAGAGTGGCCTCACACCATCGTAGATGTGTCAGAGTCATATTACCAACTGCATTGATTTGCAAGCAGTCGCTGAGTAATAGTTACATGTTTTTAAAGAATTTTTCTCATATCAACTGTATCAAATAATACAGCGTTGTTAGACTTATACCTTTTTTCCTGTAGTCGAGAAACACTAAGTTTGTAACAAAAGAGGGCAAGACACGGAAGCCAAAGTATATTTCTCATTGATCAATCCGCTGTTTATATATATATATATATATATATATATATATATATATATATATATTCAGTTTATATTCTTTAACCAAACACTGAGCTTGTGGCTTTGGTTTACATTAAACGACATGAAATAGAATGTTCAGACAGATATATTGTATTCTGTGGGAATATATGAGAATAATATTCCGCCGGGACACACACCACCACAAGTTAATGTAAGAATAGGTTTTGGACACTGTGTGCGTAAGAGTACAATTCCATATTACATAAGTTGACTTGATATAACACACATAATGATGTTTCAAGCACAATTTACTGTTCACATATAATTGGGTGTCAAATTATTCACATAACTTCTGTTTGACTTGGAGTTTGAACTCAGCTGCCACGACTGCTCAAGCTGAAGTAGCTGGAGCGAGATTTCAAAGTGGAATCCACTGGCTGACAGTCCTTAAGCCAACAAACCATATCACCACACTTTCTAGCCTGCTGTATAAAGTGCTATAACGTTCGGTTTATACAAATAAATTTCCATTTCTTAGTGACTATTAGTGTTGCGTGGTTTCTGTTTCACGTGTTTGTTAATTAGTTCGATAAAGAAAAAAGGTTGAGTGACTGACACCTCCATTTTAAATATAATACCTTTATCCGGTGCTGTCGTTGCACTATATTAAAACTTGTTACATTATAGGAACCAAGAGATGCGCCACACAAAATCTCATTTGTCTGAGGGCTGAGATACTGCCTGGATGTCCAAACTGAACTAGATAGTTGTCTTAAGGGACTGAACCCTAAGTCTGATCCACAAGACAGTGGACCGCTATCAGGGACTACGTTCCCATGATTTGCGGTAACCAAAACAGGTTCATACGCCGCCATTCTATCCTTTATGATTCTGGAAACTATAGATACCATGGGTTTTAAATCACATTTTTCCAACTCCTTTAGGTCGGTAGACCAACATGTCCACCAGTCCACTATTGTAAGCGTTAGACGTTCTTACTCACCCTTTTCAATTTTGTGAGGAGCATACGAGGCGCACATGAAGGCAGTGAATATAGGACTCACCATTTTGGCAGTGGCTATGAACGCGTGTTCACATCAGAGGCATTACTAGAGAAAGACCTCAGTCTACCCGCACTTGACCCCGCACTATGCGGTCTATAGGAGTGCCGTATATCCCAGTGCAAGTATAGTCATTCATCTAATTTCAAGATGATATATATTAGTGCAAATCGAACAGAAAGCGCATACAATAAGCTAATATACTTCTTGGGTTCTGGTAGGGAGTTGTGACCATTAGGGTTCAGCAGGTGGGATATGAGGACAAATACTCGCCATTGATGACATTCGCTAGTGGTCGCACCATATCATGAATTGGCAGAAGTCGGAATTCATCGACCATTGGTTTGCATCCCAATGGCTTAGTGGTCTACGAGCTCGCTAGCCTTGTAACCAAAAGGTCCTGGATTCAAACCTTGGCGGTGGGTGCGTATTGATGAAGAGCCACATGCAGGGACAAAAGGCTGTCCAGTACTTTCTTCTGGTTATCCGATAATTGTCTAACCGATGTAGGTTCATGATAAAATCCTAATATATTTCTTTCCCGTTAAGATAAATTGTAACAAAGAGCTCTGGAGGCAACTGGAATGCTCACCATGAAACACTATCATCGTTATGCCTTGAAGACAGACTATATTCATCTGTAGATTCGCTATAAGAAAAGAATACCGTATAGAGATGTTAAAATAACACTTGTTAGATAGGATGCTAAACTGAAATGTATTGAAAGTAATGAAAGAAACTAAACACCTAAAAGTGTGTTCAACAGGCTTATTTTATTAATCGATTGTTTAAAAAGTTATGGAGAGCGTAGATAATAATTGTGTAAGATAAAAAAACGAATATTGAATAGCACTCACTTCAAGGGATTATAACTAAGTATCTAACTAACTAATGATACAATAATGAATTATGCAATCGAAGTGAAGTTAATCAATATCAAAGTGCAAAGTACAATATAAGAACAAGAGAGATTTATCACACTCCTTCATATTACATAAATGAAATTGAATTTTCTTTTTACGAAATGAGTTGTATTCATGCATCAAAATCATTTTAATCTCTCTGGACAGCTGTTTCGTCAGCCTAATTTGGAACTCTTCATCAGTACGTACCCACTGCAGAAGTTCGAACCCAATACCTTCTGGGTACATGGCTAGCGAGTTCGTAGACCATGAAGCCACTGGGTTTCGCTCACGAAGTCCCTTTTTTGTATGGAAGTGCTACTGATGATGATAATTTAGGTTCCCTATTGTTATCATTAATTTTATTTCTACGATTATCTGGGTATTGTATCAGAGTAATAATTACTAAGTTAATTTCACATTTCACTAATCCTATTTTTACTGACAGGGTGAATCGAAATCCAAACACTGGTTTGAATGTGTGCACAATCTGTAAACACATTCAAAACTGAAATTTCGAAGTTGTGTGCTTACAACTGATGCGATATGATTATGAACATTGATAAATTGTCTTCGTAACGTCCGTCATTCAGTAAATAATAAATAGTGTTTCAATGCGTGGTGGTGATATATTATCCAATAAGCAAAAGATAATGTGCAATTATATACTGCCACACAGTATCATCATCTGATTATTTGAAAAATAAAATAATTCCAAAAAATATTAGTCTTCATGTATCCTTGTTTGAAGGTGATAGCTGGCAGCAGCATCCTGGATGCGCATTCCTCCATTTTTCAGGTTTTTCATCTATCAGTATACCTGCTCTCCAGAGAGAAACGATGTTCGCGTTGAAGAGTTGAACCCAGTAACCATCTTCTGAAATTTCAAAGCATTATCCATTGAACCGCCTTCAGTCATTGGAAAACAGTCGCATCCAGATGACGAGTCCCAAGTGGGACGACACAGACGTCCAGGATTCTAATGCCAGCCGACACCATAAGCACAGTCAATCCTTCTGAAGAGTTCATAGGCAAAAAGTGAAGTTGATCTAATTCAATCACTTCCGAAATCAGTCGTATGAGTATATTTTCTATAGTTTGGTTTGTAAGGGTTAGTTATGTTTTTACGAGTTGATCACGGATTGATATCAGTTAGAGAACCATTGAAAACCAGGGCGTACTGGACACCTACTGTTTCATCCTAGTTAGGGAATCATCGTCAGTACGCACTCACTTCCAGGGTTCGAAACCAGGACCTTCCGCTTAATAGGAAAGCTCGTATCCGTGATCAACTCGTAAAAACAAAACTAACCCTTACCAACCAAACTATGGAAAATTAATCTGATGCTCGCTAGTGACTTGATACAGGTTGGAGTTTCCTGAGTTCTAGTGAGAAGTCGTGACCAGTGAGGTCCAATTAGATGTCACATGTGTGGATGGATGTCCCACCAACGACAATGGTTGGGGTCGCGCTAAATCACAAATTGGTAGAAGTTAGAATTCACGAGCCATTGAATCGGGTCCCACGGGCTGAATGGTATACGAGCTTGACTTGTAACCGGAAGGTCCTGGGTTCGAACCCTGGCAGTGGGTGCATACTCCCGACGATTCCCAAACTAGGATGAAACAGCAGCTGTCCAGTACTCCCTGTAGCTGGTTTTCAATGGTTCTCTAACTGATATCAATCCGTGACCAACTCGTAAAAATATGAGTATATGATTATGATGAATACTAGTCATGTTTTCATTTTTTTAATATCAATTCAAATGATCATTGATTTGTCTTCTATTTTTCTTCATCATTCTGTATTTTAGTTGTGTATGAAATGTAGAATTTCCTGTCTACATTCATTATAACATTTCTCTTCTTCTTTTTTATTTGTATAGGTTTTAAATCATGAACTGCGTGCTATACGTGAAGCATGCGTTAAACTCGAATTAGGCTATCAACCTGGCATAACATTTATTGTTGTTCAAAAACGTCATCATACACGTCTATTCTGTGCTGATAAAAAAGATCAAATGGGTAAATCTGGTAATATACCAGCTGGAACAACTGTCGACCAGGTCATTACACATCCGACAGAATTCGACTTTTATCTATGCAGTCATGCTGGCATACAGGGGACTTCAAGACCTAGTCATTATCATGTATTATGGGATGATAATAGGTTAGTTAACTAACTGGAGTTCTGCTCTTCTTTTTTTCCTTGTTTCCTTCTTTCTTTCTATATTTCGCCCTGGGTGATTGTTTAAGTTTTTTTTTATTATAAACACATAAGTTCGTTGATTGATTGTAACTGCTTCTATGCGATAATACACACCTATAGAGAGAGGGAGAGTAGCTTACAATCCTTTTCTTTCTATTGGAGATAAGTTATTAGCTTGTAAATAAATTTTGATACATGTTACCTTGAGTCAGGATTTTGACAAAGCATATAATGGCAATTCCATATTAGTTTGTTTATTAGATATATCACAGTATTATTTACTGGATGACACAGTTTCGAACAAAATTTGTTACTTTTCATAATCATTCCATCAATTATAATCACACGACTTTGAAACTTGAGTTTTATAGTTTTCTTTGTTTGCTCCTATTTGTTGTCGTAGGGGTAGTAGAATTTTCCAGATATCAGGGACAGGTGTTCAGTCGTTCCTATTACACGTACTCTCTTCAGTTGATACGATAAACAAAGCTTCTGTTATCAATCTCTCCCTATACCCCGTGACATTAGATTTTAAAACTGTCATCCTATCCCATCCTCTTGTTTGGTTGTGTGTAACTGCATGTAGTGCTATAGCTGAACTACTCTCTAGATTTCTTATCTTATTTGGGTCAACCAATGTAGATTAAGCTGCTAGGTTTTTATGTTCTACTGGTTTGACTGCCCCTGTCCCCTTAGTTTGACCTATGTATTTGACCTGACAATCATTCCTGCAGCGTATTAGATAAATTCAATTGTTTTAAAGGCTCCAAAGGTAGGATCCTCTAACCGACAAAGCTTGTTTCTAATTGAGTTTGTGGGTTTGAATGCCACTTTTATTCTTGCCTTGTTAATAATTCTGCATAAGGCTTCCAACGTTCCTTCCTTGTATGGAATTACTACTGATGATATAAATTCCTAATTGTTGGTGTTGTCATTGATATTAATATTTATTATTATCATTATCATTATTATTGTTATCAATATTATTATTATCACTATCGATGCTATCATTATTTATTTTATTTTCACATTTCCTTACATATTTCTTGACTAATTTATCCGGGTAATTATTAAGTTTCAAGGCTTCTTTTATGTGTATCACTTCCTGTCTTAGATTTTCCTTGGTACTACTTAGATTTTGTGCTCTGTCATTTAAACATTTCACCAATCCTATTTTTACTGACATAGAATGGGATGATCGGGAGTTCAGATATCTGTTTGAGTGTGTGGGTTTTCTGTAAACACTAGTGTTTAACTTCCCATCTTCCTTCCTTTTTACGTTGCAATCTAACATTGGAAGTTCCCCTTCCTGACTTTCCAATTCATAAGTGAATTGAATTGCCTCTACCTTCGAGTTGATGTGTTCGTAAAAACTCTCTATATCTTGTGTTTTAAGTACAGTGAACGTGTCATCTACATACGTCCACCATACTTTTGGGATGGGGTGGGGGGAAACGTTTCCATCCATGAATATATCTGCTACAACCAAGGATATTGGTGATCCCATGGAAACTCCCTCAGTTTGTTTGTATATTTTCCTTTGGAATTTAAATGCTGTAGAAGTCAGGCAGAGCTGCACTCCCAGCATTATGTCCCCAAGTGGCACTTTCGTCCTGATATCTGGAAAATTCTACTACCCCTACGACGACAAATAGGAGCGAACAAAGAAGACTATAAAAATCAAGTTTCAAAGTCGTGTGATTACAATTGATATGATTACGAACAATAAGGAGTTTTGTTCGAAACTGTGTCATCCAGTAAATAATACTGTTACACTCAGTGTGATATATCTAATAAACAAACTAACATGGAATTACTTACTTCCACAGTGCCCAAGTTTTACACATATATTAACATATAATGGCAACTTTGTGGTAATATTAAAAATGTGTGCACTCTCTTGATTTGGAATTACATTCCTCCTCTGAATTTTCACTTTTGCATCAGCAACAACATTCCTACTGTCATGATGACGGGGAGGTATCGTAAGGTGTGTCACTTATGTACCTAACAACAGCCTGGTTTACCAATCCGTTTATTACTATTATTATTATTATTATTATTATTAATACTATTACTCCCTTGGATTCTGAGTGGAACATAAAGCTTCACTCTGCCCTATTCTGTGTAGCTGGCCCCACGATTGATTGTCCATAGTCTATCATCTGCTTCTCACATGATCTCACCTACATGTCACCCTCCCATCAACGCTCAACTCGTCGATTCCCACTCGGGTTCCACTCGAAGTTTTACCGGGCGTGTGATGCCATTCGACGAGTGTGCTCAATCCATCTCTATTTTCTTCTGCATATTTCTTGAGCAATAGTGTTTCTTAGTGGATTTATTCTCAGAGTTTCTTATTGTCGTTAATTCTTTCTGGCCGGCCGGCCAACTGATCTTCAGTATAGAGCAAAGGGAGCAGCCCTTGATAAAAGTTGCTCAGTGTAGCCTGTTGGAAATACTTTTCGTGACGCACGCGCAGTACAAGTTTTTGACCTGTATAGAAGAACGAATCGATTTAACATTGGTTATGAAAATCCTAATTTTGTTATTGAAGTATTGGTTTGTAGGTATTGATTACAGGATTTCATCATGAGTTGATATCGGTTAGCCTCCAAAGCCTCAGGATGGTCGGGAGTGGGTGCCTTGCGCTGCGGGTTGGCCACCCCTCCGTACACCTCTTGAAGTGCTCCCATATGACCGGGCGTCTTACATAGCCTCTCCTGAGGAAGTCCTACTCACTGCCTTCACGTGGCGGAGGTGTTTTTCACCGAAGTGAGAGGGCAAAGGCGGATGCCCGACGCTCTTCACCGGGTTGACTGTCCATTGGATGACAGTCTATGGGAGATGGCTAAACCCTGATTCCAAACCTCCAACGACTGGCGTAAGAAGCTCACCGGAGCTCACCATCAGACGTATGGACAAAGGGCTTATTGGATGCCCTGTATGTCTGGCCCTATTCAAAGAGGCGTATGAACTGGACTCCGGTCACCGGCTGCCAATGGGTAGTGGACTCCCTACTCCACTCCTACTGCCTTGTAGGTCACACTTGGTTGTGTAAAGGCTAGAGCTGCACTCTGAAACAAAAGGCCGAGCGATGCTGGGGACATCACTCGTACCTAATTCCCATGAAACTTCGTGAACTCTCTTACAAACAACTCTAACCTTGTCGCAAAACCTTGCATCAGATCGCCGCACCTGGGCAGTGATGATTCGAGATGTTCATGAAGCCGGCTCATCCTCCCGTTGGAGATAGCCGAAGTAAAGTAAAGTAAGATATCGGTTAGAGAACCTTTGGAAAACTAGCTGGGAGTACTGGACAGCTGTATTGTCCCTGTATGGGACTGTTCATCAGTGCGATCACCCAGACTTCTTTTCCAAACTAATCCGGTGCTTGCTAACATTGTTCGGCTACGAATGCAATAACTTGGCTGGCATGCATAATACGTGTTCCTGTTATCTCAATCGATGTCGTTTCACTACCCCATTGACTGACTGACTTCCTGCACTCACGTAGCACTCTGCCTAAACTCGATATTACACACTGTATTGTAGTGTGGTGTGTGCTACTGACAAGATTTATCTGTAGTATGTGGAGATATGTTCATCGGTACAAAAATATCAAATACTGGGGAGATGGACTCAGCGTCAAAGAGCAGAAATGAACCGGTATGAATTGGCAAAACATGGAAGACACGTGTAGAAGGCAATACGAAGGGCAGAAGTAGTACAACACAAGAGACCTGTGCAAATGACGATTTCACTTTATGGCACACATAGTCTCCCTATATGTGTATATCAGATCGCAAATAGGCATTCCGTTACCCACCATTCTTGTGTTCTGCTTTGTCACAATAGCATTTAACAAGCCATATATCACGACGATAAAGAGGAGGGGTATAGGGAGCTGCCGCTCAGGGCACACGTGTTTTACTAGATAGCTGGACTTTATATGCCCCTTTATTAGTTTATTCAAGTAGCAGTGAATGATAGCGTGTTTACTGCATCACATTTGATAAGATTTATGTACTGGTTTTCCATTGCTTTTTGGGTTTCAATAATTCTCTTTTTATTATTTATTTATTCGTAAAACATAAATTCGGCACATTTTGGTCACCGAGAAACCCGCTATGCAAAATCTCATAGTTCGTGCTAGGTCTGAGGTGTCGTCTGGAGGCCCAAACCGAAGCAGGTGGCTGTTTCGGGGGGGGGTTGGCACCGCATCCGCAATCTTTTGACTGAAGTGTGGTCTACAAATCAGTGGAAAAGCGTTAGGAGCTACGTCCCATAGGTTGGCGGTGACAAAAACATGTTTTTACACTGTCATCTGATCCTTTCGGATCCTGTGGCCCATGTACATCATAGGTTTGGGGTCAGGATTTCCAGTTGGTCTATGTGAACTAGCATGTTTACAAGTCCAGTTGTTAGCGTTTGACGTTGGCATCCATCCACCCTTACACTTTTGTGACGACAACCGTTGTCGCTTGAAGTCAGGACCTGGTAGAGGCTATGAACGTGTGGCCAGATGATAGCATTTCGAGAGAAGGACCTAAGTCTATCCGTACCAGGATCTTTTATGGGGGCTGATAAATTTACAGTCAATATCCTTTCGTCATGAAGTCTGTTAAAATCTTCAGCAAACTAACAAAAAAGAACGTGAACAGTTGGTTTTTCCGATAATGAGAAGATTTATCTTTACGGTATTTATTGTATGACCACATGTTAATAATTATTCTCCCGACCAGTGTCTTCTACTCTTATTTCTGTTGTTGTTATTATTATCACTATTAATAGATTCAGTGCTGATGATATACAAAATTTAACTTACCAACTGTGTCATACATATGTACGTTGTACGCGGTCTGTTTCAATCCCTGCGCCAGCCTATTATGCTCATTTAGTTGCATTCCGAGCACGATATCATTTGGTGGAGAAAGAAATTGACAGGTTAGTATTCATCAAAAGTTTCTTTTCTTTTTTTGTCTGTATTTTTGGTGTTAACTGGCTAACTGGCACTTAAAAATTAATGTATTGTGCTCATTATTGACTGAAACGAGCAGATTTATTCTGAATTCAAGAAACTGATCTCTGCGTTTTACTGTGTAGCCGAGAACACTTTGTTGGGATACGCGCTATCATGAAACGGTCCAACGGCAGGGATAAGAAAATTATTCTTCAATATTTCAGGGGTTCTATTAAACAATAATCACATGGAAACTCAAATTTACCTCAACAGTGTCGTGAAGTAGGCAGCTAGTTCATACAGGCAATGTAGGTTTCTAAATGCAAAACAAGTGTACTGTGAGATTAAAATTAGTTAACCAGAGTTCAACTGTAAAAGGTACCTTGGAATCAGAAGAGAAGAATATTCCCAACGAACGAGGTGGGATCAAAAGCTCTGTTGTCTACAAGAATCACACACAGTTACAAGTCAGAATGACCTTCTTCATTGACTCAAACAAACTGCATACCGTTAAACAACACATTGCCAGTGTACACACAACCACAAAAATAAAAGTATTACAATTAAAGATTAGACAAGGACAAATGCGAATAACAAAGGTCAAGAAGCAACATGTCGTATACAAATGTCAAATTAATGATACACTTAGTTTAGGAATGTCTAAATTGATGTAAATATTTAAAGCAGATCGTCCAGGAGGGATTTTTCGAAAAATTTGTCCATTACAGTTCCTGCAATTCTGGCGAGTAGTTGTTGTGAGCACTGGGGCTTACCTGATAACCTGAACATCCTGGATTTGATACCCAGCTGTGGGGAGTCATAAGTGTGTACAGCTGAAGATTGACAGTAACTAGGACGAAGCAGAGATGTCTAGTACTCCCTGGTGGTGTTTATTGGTTCACCAAGGTGATGTCAGTTTTTCTTATGACTTGGAATCGGTCAAATCTCTGCCAACCAACACTTGAATATTGTAATGAATTTGGAACATCAGAAGATGTAAGGAATTGATGCTTATTCTGACAGAATGCAACAAATACAATGAGAAGACTAAAAGCAGCAAAGGGACCCCATGCAGGTGAAAAAATATAAGCTTACTCGAAACTACGTGTTTCTGAAAAAAAATGCTATGGAAGGTGATTTTACTTTGTCATTGAATAGTATTCATTCTATTTCACAAATCCTAACGAGAGATCTAATATTCTGCTCAACTTATACTAACAATAACTTTGTTTCCAATCTGAAATGACAATTTGCACATTTCGCCTACCTTCAGGTTGATTCTCTTCTCTCTTTGTACTGGACAGCTGTATCATCCTAGTGTGGGACTCTTCAGCCAGTATGCACCCACTGAGGTTCGAACCCAGGACCTTCTGGTTACAAGGAAACAAGCCATGCCATTAATTGTCAGAAGTTGGTATTCATCAACCACTGGATTGGGTCCCAGTGGTCTACCAGCCCGTCTTGTGGCCAGAAGATCCTGTCCTGGGTTTGGTCTTCAGTAGATACGCATTGTGAAGAGTCCCAAACTGGGACAAAACGACTGTCCGGTACTCCTTGCGGGTTGTCCAATGGTCCTCTAACCGATATCAGTTCATGATGAAATCCTGAAACCAATTAAATCACTGTAAACTAACACTTGAATTCCTTCTAATAGCATTTGGATTTCGTAATTATTCGTGATATTTCATGTAAAATGGAATAGGGTGCGTCAGAATGATTTATGTTATATTCAATGAGCACATTGTGAAATGACAGTCAAAGTTTGCCAGCGGGTTCAGTGTTATTCATTGAATAATTGGGAAAATAATAAGCAATTTGCATTTTACACATATTGATAAGTGATGCATTATTTTTTTTTATTTGAGATTCATAGACCACACATCCTATTTTGGAAGTTGATATCAAGAGTCATCTTAAGTATGGGTATATGAGTGAGTAGTGCTTAAATTCACTGGATTTGAATGACACGACACCATGGAGATATTTACGTTTGTTGTTAAACTGTAGGAGTTAATTAGCGAGGTTATGGAGGGCACCAGGAGATGCACCGCAGAAAATTTCATCGTTTTTGTAAGGAATGGAATGCTGTCTGGAGACTCTGTCAGTGCGAAGCAAATGGTGGTTGTCTTAAAGGACCACAACCTCTCTCGGGAGTACCATGTGGTTTATTGGGGGGGGGGGGGCGATCTAAAATATACCTTAGCGGACTAATAGCGCTCATGTGTTTATACACTAAGACGATAACCTATATCTGTAGTGTAAGGAATTATGGTGGTATATATTTGCATACAGAAACCAGTATAGAGGTGGTGTTGGTTTTGAGTCAATTACTCATCGGTTCAAACGGGTGTCAGTTGCTTTTCTAAGACAACAAGTCAAATGTTACACGTTGATATTTGTAACCAATATTTATTCCGACAGAAGTGACGAAAATAATGCACAATTCAAAGCCTTTGTAGTACTGCCGTATAAAGATGGGACTTTAGAGGCCTTACGTAGAATTCTCAGTGATGCTGCAATTAGGTTGGCATTTAAACCAGCTAACTAGCTTTCTCAGAGATAAACTTTGCCGACTTAAGGAGTCAATAGATCGAATTAGGAAAAATAATATAATTAACCAAATACCATGTAATGCTGACTATTGTGGGGTCAAGTTACATAGGTCAGTCAAACGAGTAGATCGGGCAGGGTCAACTAGATTATTTAAACATAAAAATTTATCTAGGCCTAGTGTGGTGAGAGCAGGCTGCTAGCCAAATTGGTAGACAGCATTTTACGTCAATGTGTATGTCCCAAATATTGGTCGTGAGAAAAATAAGAACAAAGACTGATTCAACAACCAACCACAGCACACTGCGTAGGCGGATACAGTTAACATTATCTGACATTCAAGAAACAGCCAAAAATGATGCAAGGTTAACCTTTTGTAAGAAACAACCAATCAGAAAACTGTATTTGTTTGCTTGAATAAGCCATAATAATGTATATGAAAATATATAAATACGTGTTGATTTCCTTAATAAACAATCTGTTGCCTGGCCCTTGTCTTCTGTTGTTACACTGCATTGCTGTAGGGTATTTAAAAATAAACTTATCTATTTTGGAACAACATTTATATAGTGTGAAAATCAAACTGTTTCTTATTGTGGTTATTTATTTATTTATTTGATCATTTTTCTTTTGTCTGTTTCAGTGGTGAAGGCAGTCAAAAGTCTGGTAATTCCGATGAACGTACACCGACTGCAATGATGCGTGCAGTTACAGTACACCCAGAAACACTGCGTGTAATGTATTTTGCCTAAACACCGTCATCATCATCACCATCATCATCATCATCATCACATCCTTATGTACAGTTAATGAGTAGCATAAATCGTAATAAGTAGTAGTTATTTAACCTTTATAGGGAGAGAGATATATATATATCTTTGAAACAAACTCCCCCTTCTCTCACTCCCTCGTCCTCCCTTCCTCTCTCTATTCCATTCAATTCATCTGGCAGCTGTATAACGTGCATTGTCCTCTTTTTTTCCAATTTATTAAAACAAGAAAGGTAATAGTTTTGTCCTTCTCTCACTCTCTCTCTCTGTCTCCCATTTAATCTGCATTTCTGGATACCATGAATTACTATTGTTATTATTGTCACTGTTAATAGAATATACGTTTATCCTTCATTCCACAAATTATCCCTATGTGCCAACTATATGTGTATAATCAGCATTATTTCACATTGCGTTTTTGCCTAGAAATCCTCATTTCCTTATGATGCAGTGTGTGTGTGTGTGACTACTTCTCAGTTGGAAAAAAATATCATTCAATTCATTAATCATCTATCAGCTAATCTTTTCACATATAGGCTGTGTGTTTACGCTTAAAAGCGTCTTTTTACATAAACATATATATATATATATATATATATATAGCTAGCTGTTTATTTACTTATATTATGATGGATATTCCAGGCAATTTATTATTATTATTATTTCAATTCTTTATTTTTTCCCGTAAAGTTGTAAAGTCTTCTTTTCATTTCCAACTTTTCATATTTATATATATATGTGAATGAACAATGTTCCTCTGCGTGTACTCTCTCTCGCGTGTGCGTGCGTGTGTGTGTCTCTCTGTTTGTCTATCCTGAGGATGTGTTACACGTAACAATGATACTTTTGATTGTATAGAACCAGTTGTACAGTAAGGTACTGGAGTGGATCGTCTTGAGTTATTGTTGTTAAACCGGTCATTATTTAAAAAAAATACCTTTGTTGTATAATATGTACACTAGAGAATTCAAAGTGGGGATGGATGGGGTGAGTGGGTGGTTGAGGCGTGTTGTGTAGGGCGGGGAAATTCGATGGTTGACTGTATGGATCTCTCTTCTTTGTTTTCTTTTCTTACTCGTATTATACAAAGGTGTTAGCATGTCTCAAGACGATTTCTGTTGGCCAAAGTAAATATCAAAGCTTTATTCTTAAGTCTTTTTGAGATTGACTGGCGTGTGTGTATGTGTGTTTTGAAACTAAAGATTCCATCACCTCTCGTACACTACACAGACAGTTTCTGTACTACCATCAAACTAACCAACCAACTGGCTAGTCAATCTGCCAGTCGTCAGTCAATCAGTCAGTTGAGTTATTGCAAAGCAAGCAGGCGATTATCTATTGTGGGTTTGATTTCGATTTTTTGGATGATGAATAATAGCTTGTGTCATTATTTACTTAATTGCACACAAACACACCAGCCTCTCGCTTCTGGTTCTGTTCAAAAGGCGGGAAGAGAAGGAGGAAGAAACGAAAAATGCTGGACAGATATGGCACACACACACAAACAAACACACGCAGCGAGAGAGAGAGAGAGAGACTCGCATACGATGATCTCAAGAAACAATACAACAGCAATAAAAACAACAACAACTGATATGTATGTGTGCAATAGATAATTTCTTATAGGAATATTAATACAATGCCCATCTCCAGTCCCTACAATGCCTCACGTCACTTGACGCCTCTCCATGTTATCTGCCTACCTCTTTCTTCTTTTACTCACAGACTGATTGAAAATCAACTTTGGCGACTTTTTTTTCTCTTCAGGTTTTTGGTAATGCCAGACGGAGAGAGAGAGAGTGAAAATAACACCAAACAAAAGCGTTTGAAGACAATACTTCTTCACTCCATCTCTCTGCATTGCGTTTGTTTCCCTTCAGAATTCGCGGTCTCATATCATATATATATATATGTAAACATTAATAATGTGCTTCTACTGCCTTACTTTTTGCCTCACTTTTGTTTTATTCTGTCTGCCTGTCTTTCTCTCTGAATTATACACTATTATTGATGTTGTTTTGAACACTCATCGGTTAATTACGCAATCAGTCATAGTCGTCGTCCCTCGGATCTCTTTATTTTCTTTCCTCTGATCTCTTATCTTTGCTACAATTTGGTGCTTTTTTAAAGCTTAACTCGGAATGCTGTATTCTTGCCTTTATCATGTACTGATAAACGATATATTAATAACAATTTGTTGAGTATATATATATATATATATACATATATCCTAGTCGAAATAACTAATCTTTTTTGCAGGGAGTGTGTGTCTGTGTGTTCCTTTTGACATTTATTTTTACTTGTTCAACTGAGCGATTGCCTTCCTTCTTTAATATATACCTATATGCATATATATTTATCTTATCAACTATTGTTTTCATTATCCCCGACGATACGGCTACTACCACTCATACTACTGTTACAAGTAATCGAAGTGGTAGTGGGCCTGGCCCATGTAGTCCCCTGCCCAACCCTGGCCTTTTATAGCTTTACCATCATCCTCATCATCACCATATTCATCATTTATTCGGTGTTGCGCTTTTTCTTATTACTTATATTTATGTGTGTGTGTATGTGTGAGTGTATGGTGTCAGTCTCAATTGACTGACTAACTGACTGACTGTGTATATTGTAATGCCAATAATTTGTCTACTTGAGACAAAAATATCTTTATAGTAATAATAGTAATAGTAATAATAATAATGAATAAATGAACAATATTTACTAATAAATATACAATATATCAATTAATGGAAAGTGTTATTTCTTGTTCTTCTTCTTGTGTATTGATTACGTATCTGATGACGAGTGCCAACTAGCACGAAACCTAGGTCCAAGACTTCCTGCCAACTACCTCTAACCATCTGATATCATCAAATCAGTGTGCACCGTGATGGCGAGCTACCTAGATTGGTGGCTGTATTACAACCTGACTGATAGAATTCAGTCTGCACCAAAGACAGGACTAGACACATCACACTAGTTACTAGTATCAAATCAAAAGAGTGACTGACTGTTTTCAACATGGAAGTTTGCAGCGGTGTTCAGCAGTTCTAGTTGCCATAATCCCTCCTTGTAGCACAGAAACCAAGAGAAGAAAGTAAAAAGAAATGCAAAACAGAGATATGAGGCAAGGAGAATAGTAGTTTCGAAGAACCATATATTTTTTTATTGGATATTGTAAGTCACGACAATTGGATGCATCTGAGCCATTGAGAAGGATTTTGAGCCATGTTTCCAACCATTGATGTTTACCGTCCCCAGGACCCCAACCCGGAAACCAGTCTACACCTTCCCACGTGGTTGGCTTAAACTAACTGTTGTGGGTTTCATTGACTGATGAAAGCATGTTTAGGTTTGATCGCCACTGGCTCTTTTCCAACCTGATCCATCCTATACCAGTCGGCTAACACTGGCCGTCATCGAGGAAAGAGATGAATGAACATGCAGGCGTAGCGCATGTCCTAGCCATCTCAGCTACTTCACACTCTCGTCGATTGATTTTTCCTCCCAACTACCTAGCACTAACCTCAATATTGCTCACCCTATTATACCACCCAACACACACGGGAGATAGAATGCAGACACCTATGATCAAAGACAGTCAGCCTGGTTCTCCATGTCTTCTACTTTTAATGGCCATGTCTCACCCACAGCCGTAGAGGAGGATGGAGCGAACTCCTGAGCAGTACCTACACCCTTTGGTTTATAGCCAACAGGATATCACGTCTACGTTGGAGATGGCGTAAACTGGCATATGCCAAACGAGCCATCTGTATCCGTGCTGAGATTTCGTCAGCGATCAACCCACTGGCGTTGGCTGATGCAACACGTCTCAAATAAGTGAAGTGGTCAACACGCTCTACCATTTCACTCCTGTCTTTCTTTAAGCTAGGAGTGAGTTGATGTAATCCAGTCCAATCATGTAGCATCATTTTACATTTGAGGGGGGAGCGAATCGCATGTCAAACATTTCAGGATTGCTGCTCAAGGTGTTCACAGAACACTCACCTAGGGAGGATTATATCATCTGCATATTCTAAGTCAACGAGATTATTCCCTGGTAACAAGTGAATCCCTAAGTCGCTGAAGTCACTTAGGGTTAATTCCATACGTATTCACTCACTTAGGCCTTATCCAATGGTCAACCCATGAATTCCACCTTAAGGACTACTGCCCGGAGAATGTCATAAGCGAGTAACTGTTCGCTTATCTTTGCATATTTGGTGCACTCTGGTGGTTAACATTTCTGCTTAGATCTCTAGGTGACATCTTGCGTATATCTAGCCAGTCACTGGCGTTAGTTTGCAAAGGATTTGATTAGTTACATATCTTATCACTATTAGCTGACATTGGTTAGGGAATCACTGGTAACCGCCAAAGATTATTAGAGAGCTGTATCGTCCAGATTTCGGGATTCTTAGACACCATGCACACACCCAGTGGGGTTCGAATCCAAGACATGTCTTAGCCAGAGCGAATTAATCTGAACACTGGAAGGTGGTTTCACCCCTTTTCAGGCAGGTCTTGCCGGAGCTTTAATACCCGGTTTAATCATGATTACGCGATAAAGTGAATTATCATCAAAAAGGTGGAGATTATATGAATCCTTGGCGTAGTGGTAACAGACTGACTTGGAGTATCTGTTGGAACATCAACATACATCACTCACTCACTTACTGGGAATGCAAGTACACCCAACCATGATAAATCCCCAAAAGGATGGAGTGTGCACCCTCAATTCCATCTCTAGTCTTCATCACCAAACAAAAAGATCAATTTATGAGTGATCCCCTTCCAAAATAACGTAGTTCAACGAAGAAGCTGTTTCCAGAGAATCCATTTTCCTCTTTACAATCGCAAAAGTGATGAGTTGTTACAAAAGTAATAACTCTTATTCTCTTGGATTCCTAGTGGAATATAGGGCTTCAACAACTTTGCCGTTTTTTTATATTTTCCACTGTCCTCTTCAACTGGGTCCACAATTGCCGTAATCTCTCATCTCACCAAAAGATCTCCTCGATGTCACCCTCGCACTGACGACCCACTCGAGAAGTGGCGCGATGTCATTCGACGACCTCAACACATACCTAGACCATCTCCATCCTCTACATGCTTTTTAATCAATCGCCTCTTGACATTGGTCTGTCGCGTAAGAGTTTCGTGTTGCTCATTCTTTCTGGTGAGCCGGCCATTTGATCTTGAGTATGACGAACGGAAGTTGGAAATCCCTTTCATAACTCGCCGAATTCCTGACTTCACATTAGTGTTGAAAATCCGAACCTTCATCTTTATGCTGAGTGCATACAACTTTGAAACTGGTTTCAGATTGATGAAGACGTATCTTGCCTCTCCGATTCTGACTTTGAAATCTTCCTCCCTTCCGCGTGTGATTGGAACCATGCTGTCTAGATAAGTGCAGGAAGTAACTCCTGTCAGATTTATCCCATTGATAGTGATTAGTGTTGGTTGCTGTTGTTGCTGTTGCTGTTGATTCGTTATCTTCATCACCTGCGCCTTCCCTATGTTCACCTGCAATCGTGTTTTCGCTGCCCGCCTCGCCTCCTCAGCCAGTCTGTTGGTTTTCGCTTGCAAGTCT